CCCCTTTCATTTTGAAGAAATGATTTTTCCACTTGTACCTTTAGCAGTGGAAAGCTCCCTGCGAACGTTGTAGTAGAAGAGCAAGTAAAAAGTAGCTATTATGTATCTGTAGCAGTATAAAGTCACTACAGTAGGACACTGCCAACTAAAGTAATGTCCTCCTTAATTGAGCTCCACACTAAAGACTATTGTTTTTCTGGTGGCTGCTTTCTTTGTCATCAACTGGTACTTTGCTGTATTTGAGACTCTGCTCAATCCAGTTCTCGCAGATAATTTCGGTTTTGATGTGGAGTACGACGCTTACGCCTTCTTTGGTACACTAACCTTCTTTTCCACTGGAATGATTATTTTGTGAGTTAGCTGATAACCATTGGGGATTTATTCGGAGATGTTAAATTTCAGGTATGCACTTCAGAGGCTGCATATTGATAACCGAGTCTCAAGCATTATTGCACTCTCTTTCGCCCTCTTTGGGTCGCTGGTGGCAACTGATTGGCAATCAGTACAGGGAGACCCCTGCAGCCAGTTCAGTAAAACTGAAGGAGTCAATTTCACAATTTTATCAGAACCTAAGGATATGGCTTTTGGAAGTGGGTCAGCGATATGGTGTGAAGTAGATCCTGGAAGCTACTTCTGTGCTGCTGAGGAGTCGGGAGTCAATTTAGAGGAGTGTGGAGTGGAACAGAGTTTGACAAATGGGATCATTGACGTGAATGCCAGTTGTGTTTGTGAGGCATTCTCTGGAGTGTCAGAATTCAGGTGTTTCTGGAACCCTCACTCGCGGGTGACAGGGAGGGACTGCCAGCGATGTGCCAGACTGTGTCGCAGTCACAGCCACTCCCTCAACCTCGTCCAGTTCCTCCTGGGAATGGCTCTTATTTGTAGTATTATTCCGTCAGGCCGCATCGCCATCACTCTTATAGCCTCTGATGCCTTGGCTGGAGGGTCACAGGTATATTATAATAGTAGTTTCCAGGTCGAGTTAATGCTAATAGTTCACTGATCATGATAGATTTGTGGTTTGAGCTAGCTATATACATCTGCTCTGTAAGTGTTGATGAGTATTCTAACGAAACTGCTTTATCTGCTGAATTATCCGAGTGCGAAGTGAGCCTACCTACCTACATTGTTACCTCGATTATTCTATGGATGACATTTGCACCACATCATTGTAAAACCATTTGCTCTCGTCTATTCACTCACCAAAAAAGCATTGCATCATAGATTATAGAACGTAATTGGTCTGTAGTTTAATTCATTCTACTATCCACAGGCACTGATAATGGGTACATTGGTTGCCATGGGAGCTACTGCAAGATTCACTGGACCACTATGGGGTAAGACACCATCACCAGTGGTTTTCAATAGAGTTAGAGTGTGTGTGTTGTTATCCAGCCAATGCAGCCTACCTGGCAGCCGACCATCATGTGTATATCGTAATGAACATCCTGTCAGTGTCCATTCTACTGGTGATAGTGCCCTACATCCTACTGTATCGGACCATGAAACCAGCAAATCAACAGCAGCAAGTGATGAGAACTAGCGGAAATGTTGCCTCGATCGAACTAAACTCGCTACTCAATCAAGATACAGTGGAACTTGTTAGTGTTGGAGACAAAGAACTAGTCTCTCTTGAGAATGGAGACTGGTGTTTGGAGAAGGACAGTGGAGGTTTGGGTGATGAGGATATGGAGATGGATGATGGAAGGGGAAAGGAAGATGAAGATATGACTGAGTTGTTAAAAAACATGGAATCATCTTTAGACGAAAGGTGACGAGAAGGATTTGAAGTAGCTAGGAGTTCTACATTTAGCAGCAATAAATTCTGTCTGGCAATATCAATCTATAATGAAGTGTTAACGATGTCCCCTGTGTGTGGAGCAGAGTAATCATGCATAACTTTGTCGAGAGCCGAAACAAGGACACCCACTTCCGGTGCGCATGCTCTAAGCGAGGTAGAAGGCGCTTAAAAGCGCGCTTATCCTAGAAGGTGGGGGGCGAGGTTCTAGCCGTGAGATCAAGGAGCAGGGCAGGGCAGGACCGGCTAGAAAAAGACTGTGGCCTACTGACTGTGACTCGCTCTAATAGGCACCAGTGTATTGGTGTATACGTCTAAGACTTTTGCTCAGCTGAGAGGCGAGGCAGCATTTTGACGGAGTGAGGGCGAGGCGGAGTAAAAATGCCCGTCAAGAAACAAGGTCTGTCCCTTGTGGATACGAGTAGAGTTGCGTGTAAGACGTAGAGAAGTAGCTAGCTAGCTGGTAGCAATCGGGGATCGGATCACGTCTGCGCGGGTGTCGTAGTGCGCCAGCTAGCCACTCGCGAGACGTCTATGACCGTATGTTGTGAGTCTGTCTCTCTCTGTCCCCAGACGTCCATCGTGCCCTCCAGCTACTGGAGGAGTACAGGAGAAACCTGACTGACGCGGACTCCGAGGAACTGCGGGAGGCGCTCACTAAGGCCATAGTGGCCATCAGGTCTCGCCTCTTTCAGGCCCTACTGGGTAAGTAGCAACCAGACCCGTGTGTATATATCTGTGTGTGGTTTGAGTTTAGGATAGAGAGAGGGAAATGGAGAAAGGGTTATCAAAGCTAGTAGTTAGTATTTCCAGGCCTTTCTCTGTGAGAAATCAACCAGTACATCTTTGTAGTGTTTGTAAGGATGTGTTTCAAGAGCAGGCGTGCAACAGCGAACGTTGCAAACATTTGCAGTTTGTTATTTCAGTGTTTGTCGATGATGTCGGGCTGGGCCGGCTGTATGCGCACGTGGTCTGCAATCACTGCTACCATCAGCCTATGTGTGTGTGTGTGCGCGTGTCTCCATAATGGATGGCTAGATTGGTTTCGCTCCCTGTGTGTGAATACCTCCCAGGAGTGGGTACAGTGAGAATGTTACTAAGTGCAGCTCCATACAATGTGCCTACACGTCGTGGGTATAGGTTGTACAGGCTGTACGAACATGCTGTTGTGCTTTGTCGGTCGTTACTAACTGGTTATATACTGCTTATTCCTGTGTGCCTACAATGTCTATAGCCTGTGTGTGTGTGTGTGGTTGTTACCATGTATGGTCCGAGGTAGGATGGATTATATGGGTAGTCCAATAGCATATCACGAGCTAAGGTAAAAATTACTGTGGTTGGGGGTAGGTGGAGGAGAGAGGGGAGCGCTCATCTCTCTAATTTCAGTTCTTGTATGTGGATGCCTCTTCGGTAGTGCTTCAATGAGTGTTGATATACAGCAGGGGGAGGAGAAGGAGGGAGGGAAGGGGGAAAGGAAGGGAGAGAGAGGAGAGGAATAAGGAGAAGAGCGGGAGGGGAAAAAGAGAGGAGGGGTGGTGGGAGAGGAAGGAAGAGGGAGGGGAGGGGTTGTACCTCTGCAACCCCATTGCATTCTCTACTTATGTTCTGTGGGCTTCTGTTGTAGCAACAGAATACCATAGTAGCAACTTCCTGCGACACAGTGCCATATTGATATCGTCCCTCCGTACATGACTGTATTCCTCTATATGGCACTCTATGATCCATACACTGTGGTACCCTGTATACAGTATAGACTATCGGCTAGTGATTTTAAAATGGACGCTGCTGAAGGTTATTATCATTGTAGTATGTATGTAGGTTTGCCTACTACAGGTTATATAATTTGGCCTACATCTCCAGAGAGAACGTGCTGGTATGTATACACAGACGGTGAATATGAACACTGTATTCCATGAATTTCAGACACTCTCACTGTGCAATCACACACTATTGTAATATACACACACAGTCACCAGACCAGTCTAGCCTGGGTCTAAACAGTCCTGCCCTCTCTATTGTGCTAAAGGTGGGGAGAGGGGTGTTGTAATAGTAGCACTGCACATGTGATGTCCCTTCTCATTGTGTTCGCCCATAATTAACATAATTTTTCTAACATACAGTACAATGGGGCCTTTTTATCGTGAGGTCACTTCTTATTCAGTTCATTTTAAACTGTGTCCTGAGTTGTACACTAGTCGTCCTGGTAGTGAGTGTGCTATTGAATGTTGCTTGGATACTCGGGTAATTGTGGAAATTCCTCAATACATTGTTTTTCCTTGCCCTCACTCCCCTTTCCTTTCCCACTATATATACCTTCCTCCTTATTCCCTGCTTTCTTCCCTCCTCCCTCCTCCCTCCCTCCTCCTCCTCTCCAGACATTCACGACTTCTACTCCTACACTCTGGAGAGCAACGCCAAGACCACGGAGACTAAAACGGAGGAGACCCTCCATTTGGCCGAGAAATGGGAGAACCATCCTCCGCCAGTCCCCGCTGAGACTGCACAGCTTGCTGCCAAAAGCCTCGATGCCAGAGTTAGTAGAGTGTTTCCTATAATAGTCACAAACCTTGCGCACAGCTTTTGATTGAGAAAACTTGCTAAAGGGGATAGACTTTCGCGGGGGAAATTTTCAATGGTTGCTTATCTAAATGGTCCCACCCACCAATCAACTGAGAAAGACATTCCCTTCCCAGTTGCTTCTGAAACCCTGACAATTTTTGAACAGTTTTCCCTCTTAAACTTTTAACCCATGTTCATTTTTGTTCCCGCTAGCAAGAGTGCTTGTCGCACAGCAGCAAACTTTCGAGGGTGACGATGTTTTGCGTATAGGCGACAAATTAAACAGATTAAACTTTCACACGTACAAATTGTTCCCTGGCCACAAACATTTTACGGGTGTGTCTAAATATTTTACCACTAGCAGCATTACTCAGGAGTAGGGCAGTCTGAGCCTGTCAAGTGATATGGATGCTTGTAATATTTGCCACTTAGATGTGTGCAATTGCTATTGCACAAATGTGGCTTCAACAGTATTTACATACATAGATCATAATACGTTGCACATAGCAGTGTACAGGAGTCTACTGATATGTGATGCCAAGAAACACTAGAAATACACTAACTAATCATTTGAAACTGAAGGGCTAATGAGAAACACTGTCTATTTGACGGCAGGTGTGTGGAAACGTGGAAACAATGCTGACGCACTTCCTCTTGTTGTCATTGGCTACTATCTGTGGGCTATAGTAACCAGAGCATGTGACTTGGGTCATGGCTTTGATGTTATATCACTACTTCCTGTAGATACTGGCATGCTGCATTATACATTTACTCTGTGTGTGTGTGTGTGTAGCTAGAGGTAGAGTGTATTTGTGTCATGTGTTACAAAGGAATTTACTCCCAGAACATTATAGGTTCATTACTTCATATAAATCACGGTTTACTGTGTTATTCTATTGTCTAGTCTAACCCCTAGCCCTGTTTCCTTGTAAGGTATTGTGTAATGAACTACATGTACCAACAAAATTAGTTCCTTCTGTTATTTCGTGATTTTTGTTGATTTATGTATATGAAGAACCCATTTTAGGAAAGATAAATTTAGTAGGCACAATAGTGTATAGTGAGGAATGTGAAGAAATATCACCTTCTCTGCATGAATGCACCCTATGTACTGTACATGTTTCACATTCTTTCTTTCCCTCCTTCCTCCTTCCCACTTCCTCCCTCCCTCCCCTTCTCTCTCTCTCACTCCAGGTAAACAGTAACACAGCCTCAAATGTCCAGGTGAAGTTCTGATTGATTCACTCACTGTCTGTGTCTGCATGGCTGAAAAAGAACCAGTTTTTAACAAAACTTTTTAAACGAACTCCTACCTTTAACTTAGAGCCAATCTCATTCAGTAGTGCATTCATTATGTGTAGTAAGTTAGACCCACATTCACCTGCCTATATTTCCGACACCTCGGTAGATTTTTCGAATTGTTTGTAGATTTTTATAATCATTTTTAACTCTTGCAAATTGTATGTGGCAATGCATGTGTGTATATACAATGTGCATGCAAGAGTACTAAAGGATACGTAGGCTTTAGTATGAGCTACAATGTGGTAATGACGTGAAATATTGCAGCATGTCAGCATGGGTAGAACACTGCATGCTTGACAAGCTAGGCACGTGGGGTGGCCTTATTAGTAACCCGGTGAAACCACAACCAGTTTGCCCTGTTTTGAAAACCGGTTTCGTGCCCGTGTGTAGGTCAGCATACCTTGCCTGCCTGTACTAATTGTAACCTCGGACACGCATTCCTAGCATTCTTGCTAGTTGTAAGGTGTTACAGTAGACACCCTCTCCCCCACCTTCCTTTCCCCCTGATCTCCTTATGCTGTCAATAACCTATTTTCACTCTCTCTATTATTGTACATGCGTATGTACATACTTGTATGCTATTTTATGTGTGTTCTTTGACGAGTATATCGTTTTCCCTCTTTGCAGATTGAGACACTCCACATCCATCTACAGAGGGTACGTAAGGAGACACAATTCACATCGTGTTTATGAACGGTGAACCCCTCTAATCAGGGCAAAGTGGGGTGTCCCCTTTTCAGCAGCGTGTCCCTTAGAGAAGGCTATATACACTACAGTAGGAGCTCCTAATATGGGCGTGTCATGCTGTCATTTAGTCTTTCGTTGAAGTGTCCATTGTAAAAGGTTCCACTGTCGTTAATGTGGTTGATTGTTGTAGGGGGTGTGTCTTCCAGGGAAGTGTTTGTTATAAGAGGTTCAACAAGTAATGCATCTTATCGCCATAATTATTGCAACAACGATGTCTCAAGGCTAACCAAATTACACAGTGGCACCCAAAATGAGCTGCCCTATAAGGTTGGGTTTGAACCCACAGTCTAGGCGAGTGCTCCACCAACTGAGCTACCTAGTATGGTTAGAGGTTCAAATCTTCAACACAAGACTAAAGCAAAACTCAAACCTCTGTGCTGCAGCACATGTACACACAGTATGGGTAATGTGTTGTATATATGTTATGTAGGGTCCCACTGGAGGCCTGGGAGTGAGTGTGGCTGGTGGTAGAGACAACCCTCACGTGGTGGACAGCTCTGGGATCTTTGTCACAAAACTCATCCCCGACACCCCAGCCAGTGATGATGGCCGTCTCAGGTACAGTGCATGTCCTTTCTCCTCTTGATACCCTCTTGAAACGTGCATTTTTGAATGCTATAATACCTACCGTAAGAGTGGAAATTTCGTAGCTGTTTTTTGGTATATATTTCTCGAAAATCCTAAAATTCATCGTACAGCCAATTCATCATAGGCAAAAAATCCAAACACCTTCATCTAGTATAAAGCCTAAACAGAGAGTGAATGATATCGTTGTGTAGCTACAGTTCAAAGCTATTCTGAAGATTGCGGGCGAGTACGCAGTAGTCTTCATCAAACACACACGTTTTGCACACGTACGTACGTATGTAGATCACTGTTTACGTGCATAAGGAGGTGAGGCACCCTTGTAAGCGCTCAATCACTTTAGCGTGCAGTAATGGTGCTACCAAACCTTTTTTACCGCGTTGAAAATGTTTACACTGAAAGATTCAAATTTTACAGTATTGCTCTGCAACTAAACACTTTGTGAATTTTAAAACGAGGAATGTGTGCCTCTCCCTAATCGTGGTATGCAGGCTGGGAGACCAGATCCTATCAGTCAACGGTACGAACCTGGAGTACATCACACACACTGATGCTGTACAGACACTCAAGAACTCTGGAAAAGATGTTGAACTGGTTAATAATCATCTCTCTCTTCTCCTCCCCTGTTATATACAGAACACTTCTCTTCTCTCTCATTTCGGCTTTCTCAGTCTCTCTCTCTCCCCAAATTATCCTTCTTCACAATCTCGCTGGACGCAATGTTGTGTCGCACGACTCAATCCCAAGTGTGTGATGTTAGTTAGATGATGTTATGAGGCAAGATAGAGATAGGAACAGCGAGATAGAGCTATTCCATACTCCAACTGTAGTCAAAGTATTGAGGATAGTCAGTTTGTTTCTCCTTCCACTCATGTGCCCACAAAAAATGCAAAATGTTTGAAATCCTTATTACGGAGGGTGGGGGATCGGTAATGGGATAGCACATAGAGGGAAGTAGGGATAGGTAAGCTGAGATAGGGATATGTGCAAATGGACAGAGTACCTTACTATTCCATACTCCAACTGTAGTCAAAGTATTAAGGATAGTTGGTTTATCTCTTGTTTTACTTACGTGCCTACAAAAAATGCAATTTTCGCACTGTAATTTCCTTTGTTTTGCCGACTTCCTCTTTCCTTTCCATTATCATCCCTAGAAGCAAGCTTCTTCCCCCCTCTCACCTGCACCCTTCCCAGCTTTTCCTACTCTCTCTTTCCTTTCTCCATTTCCTTACATTAACTATCATCTCCCTCTCCCTCACCTCTAGTATTTCCCTCCCGTTCACAGGTTGTTCAACGCAGGACAGAAGTTTCTGGAACTCCCAGTATAGGTAATGGAATACTTTGAATTCCGATGTGCTATTACAAGTGTTGCTTTGCCATTGCCTTACGACTTTGCGTTACTGTTACTAATTGTGTATGTTTCGTTACGCAATCCGTGTACAGAGAATGGAGAGAGAGTGGTTCTAGATATCACTCTGGTGAAGAACGACAGAGGTCTCGGGTTTAGCATCGCCGGTGGCCGTGGCAATGCCCACGTTGTCGGGGACGACGGGATATTTGTCACCAAGATAATCCCGGGGGGCGTGGCCGAGATGCAGGGGGACCTTGCTACAGGGGACCGCATATTAGAGGTATAGTAACGTATCATTGGGTGGGAGATGATAGGACAACAACATATTATAGTAGATCTTACACTCCTTTGTTTTATATCTGTAGTGGGGAATTTTTCGTTTGAAGTTTCTTAAGTTTTAGGAGTACGCACTTTGCCACTATGTTTTGTTTGGAGAGGGGGAGGAACTGTAGCTCAAAAGGAAACTAAACGGGGAAGAGGAAGAAACAAGCTATATTAGAAGAGAGAGAGAGAGTAAAGAGGGGAACAGGGGATCTCCGTATGCATACATAGCAACATATCTCAAAACCTTAGAAGTAACAAGGAAATCCTGTATAAGTGTTCATTGATATGATATGTATGTAGCTCTGATAATGTTACTGTATGTTACTGTATGTTACTGTATGTATGTTAGGTGTGTGGCCAGAAGATGGATGGTTTGAGTCACGAGGAATCAGTCGGTGTTCTGAAGGCCACTCCTCAGACCGTGGAACTGAAGGTGGAGAAAGGAGCTCTCGTTAAAGCCAGCCACAGTCCTCAGGAGAGTGAAGCCGATCTGCAGGTACGTGCAAAGTTCAAACCAGTAGTCCGATGAACTCTATCTCTGTTCACGCTTTGCATCCTATAATGGAGGCCTGACTGTTAATGTAACAGTAATATAAGAGTTGTATGTTTAGCAACCGTTAACGGAATGGCCTCTGTCTCCCTCCCCCAGCCTCAGCCAGAGCGTGCCGTAAGCCTGTTCCGGAGCAACGGAGAGGGCCTGGGATTCAACATCATCGGAGGTGAGGGAGATGCCGGGATCTTTATCTCCTACATCTCTCCCGGTGGAGTGGCCGACAGGTCCGGTGGCCTGAGAGCTGGAGACCACATACTCAAGGTTAAACCCAACAGACGAGATGCCTAACTATTTTCCAATTGACGCTCGCTTGTTTTTCCGCGTGCGTGGGTTGCGCGGGGAAACGGCGCCGCGGGCACTTAGTAAACGTGATGTGAGTCACTACGAGATTTAGTATTCACATTTTCACGCGTGAGTGCGTACTAAGTTTGTTTGTTTGTGCAACTATATTAGGTGAATGAAGAGAGCATCGGCGATGCCAACCATGACGAGGCAGCCGAGGCCTTCAAACAGGCAGGGAACCACGTCCAGTTACTGGTTCGCTACAGCCCGGTCGAGTTCAACCGCTTCCAGGTATGTATACATACAGTACTGTATGTGTGGTACACACGTGCGTGCCAGAGCATGCTTTTAGTGCTGTTCAGACATTTTCATACACTGCCCTGAATACACCAGGAAAAGTGTTTGATATGTATATGGAATAGGGCGCGAATACCTTTGACGCTAGATTCAAGTGTGGATGATACGAAATAAGTGTCATGTGTGTCACGAGTTGATTGGTCGAATTGCGCAGGAAAGGTTTTGAATCGTGCTCCCAAATCGGCATAGTACATACGTATGGTATAGGGTTAAGGCTTGGGCACCGACTGAGGCAATCAAAAGGCAGACGTGACTTCCTGTTTTATGGCATTACTGGACATTCCTCCCAGAATCAGTCACACATGATTCAGAGTTACCGCTGATAATCTCCACTGGATATGTGTGTATACTTTTAATCCCCTGTCTGTCTCGAACCGTGTCGAAATGTAGTTGATTTGTTTGCTTTGCTTTGACCTTGATGTGGACATTTCAATGTTATCTCTCTCTCTCTCGTCTCGCAGGAGAGGCTAAAGCAGCTGAATGAGGTGGAAGATCAAGGATCTCCTTCGAAACCCTCCATCCAGCCTGAGCCTGAACCTGAGCCTGTCAGACAACTCTATGTCAGGTGAGGCAATACACATGGAGAGATGGAGAGAGGGGGGAAGGAAGGAGGTACGTAGGCAGGGAGAGAAGTGGAAGTAGTAGAAGATGTGTTCGCACTAACCTTGTAAACCTTTGAGGAGATGGAGAGAGGAAGGTGGGAAATAATAGTTTGTAGACGGTGTTTTTTCACTCTCTGGATCTTGCTTACTACTTACTATAGTAAGCTTTCGAGGGAGGGAGAGAGAAATGAAAGTAGATGATGTGTTCGCACTTGCTCTCTAAATAAAGGACACATTCAATGTCTCCAAGGTGTCCTTTATTCTGGCGTTTCACTGCAAAGAGAGAGAGACTGTGAGTTTCCCTCTCCACCCAGAGCTCTGTTTGACTACGATGCTGACAAGGATGACGACCGTCCGTCGCAGGGTCTGTCTTTCAGCCACGGGGACATTCTCCATCTCCTCAACACCGGAGACGACGAGTGGTGGCAGGCAGCTCTCGTTGGGAACCATGCCGAAGATGGACCTCAGGGACTCATCCCTAGCAAGAGCAGGTGAACAAAGTAATATTATGTCATTCAGTAGGAAATGTGCTCTAGAGCATTAATTTTTGTTGAAGGGAATGTGATGGTACATAAGGGCTGAATTTCAAAGACGGAACTAAACAATAGGGTCCAGTAAAACAATTCTTCCATTTTTTGTAACAGTTGCTAAATTTAGCCCTTATGAACTGCCATACGCCGCGTTGTGACAAACTGTATCAGCATTGCTGTGTAAGCAATCTGCTAAAATATAATCTGACTCCACCCATTTGGGGGCTATGTGCATGCGCATTGCAGTGCTGTTGGCGAGCTGCTCTGTTAACGAAGTCTCGATTGATTTAAACTCTGCACTTTGTGCATTGTCATCCTAATGAAATTACGTGAGGTTTATAAGAATGTTATCTAGGGTCCTTTGTTTGTATGGGGCTAATGACCTGTAGTAGTGTATACAGTTCAGATCCCACCAGTGCTCAGTATTACAGCAGTGTCTGGTCTGATTGTATAGGATTGAGCGCCGTACTCTGACCGGTCCGAGGAATGTTCAGTTCACCAGCAGAAACGAGCAGCCCCACGAACTCGAACATAGGGTAAGACTTCGTCCCAGTCTGGTTCCCATACCAATTCCCCGTCCCGATTCCAGGCCAGGGCGTCGTCAGAGAAGGAGGCACGACGCGGACTCCGCAGCAGTTTCAAGCTCTCTCGCAAACTCCCCTTCATCAAGAAGGCCGACAACTCTTCTGGGAACGAGGAAGAGGGCAGAGGTCAGTTGCCGGAGCGGTCACGTGACTATAAAGTGATGATCATGTGATCCATTTGCTCAGATGGGGAATTCGTGGCGACCTATGAGCCGGTGACCCTTGAACCTCGAGGCTATGCTCGTCCAGTCATCATCCTTGGTGCCCTGAAAGAGGACGTCAACGACATGCTCGTACATGAGTTCCCTGACAAATTTGCCGGTTGCGTTCCTCGTAAGTTTCGAGCACTCAACTGTAAAAATATGTATTCATCTCTCTAATTTTAGTGCTTGGTAATAGGTCTTATAGTGAAGCCTTAATTCAGAACACCATTTGGACTTTGTGTCCTTTATTCAGAGATGTCCCTTTTTCGAAAGTTGAATAACCATAGAGCAGAACCAAGTAACCTTTATAGAGAGGTGTCCTTTATTCGGAGGTTTTATCTGTACGGTGTTAGCTTGATGCTATAGCGTCACTACAGTGGTTTGAGGGTTGCCTTTGTCTTTTTGTGTTGTGTTGTGTTGATTTGCAGCCGAGCTGCCCTGGTAGCTCAGTTGGTAGAGCGCTCGCCTAGACTGCAGTGTCGTGGGTTTGAATCCCACCTAGGGCAGGTCTTAGTAGTTGTAGTCGTATTATTTGCCTTTGATGATTGCTTCGGATCTCGTTGCAAACACATCTGTGTCGTTTCACCCCAGACACGACTCGAACTCCGAGAGAAGGAGAGGCGGATGCTAGAGACTACCACTTTGTGTCCAGCGTGGAGCAGATGGAGAAAGACATTCAGGCCCATCTCTTTATCGAGGCCGGCCGCTACAAGGACAACCTCTATGGCACATCCATCCGTGCCGTGCAGGAGGTGGCTCAGCAGGTATATGGCACTATAAACTGTCCATTATGTCCATAAGAAATTATATGGGGGTCAATTTTGTACTTATAAAAGGCGACAGCCATGCCGTCCAAAGGGTTTTGAAGCGAGCCCGCTGAATTGTCGTAGTTGGTATGCACTGCATTAATGCACTTTGCAAAGGTTTTCATACTCTTGCACAAATTAGTTGCAAACAGAGATCAAAAGAAACTGACAACACAGTAGCTATGTACGAAATTCCTTTTTGGTTTATTCTGTACAATGCTGCTGTGATTAACGATAGCTCTTTCAATGTGAAAAGATCACCTTAACAAAAGACAGACTGTGTGTGTAGACAATAGAGTATGGACTGTGTGTGTGGGTGGGTGGGACTGTGGGTTGATAGTGTATGTGTCCCAAATGTTCAGGGGAAGCACTGTATCCTGGGAGTGAGTGGCTATGCCATCCGCAGGCTCCAGATGGCTGATCTCCACCCCATTGCCATATGCATCCGACCCTCCAGTGTCGACGTCATACAGTGAGACCCACTGCCACGCCTCTTTTCTCTCTCCTTCCTTCTTCCTTACCCTCTCCCCCCTCCTTTCTCCCATTGGTCTATCCCTTCATTAACCTCACTCTTGCTCCCTCCCTCCCTCCCCCTCTCGTGTCTCCCAGAGATGTACAGCCCAAAACTTCAGGAGAGCAGTGTCAGGGCATCTACGAGAAAGGCAAGAGAATCGAACAAGAGTTTGCTGAATTCTTCACTGGTAAGCTGAACACCTGACACACACGTAATCAGATGTGGATATGTGTGTGCGACTTCAATCACTTTTCCCGCTCCCATAGAATGTATGGGACTGGAATGATTAATGAGGCGTTAATGTCTAAAATCAGAGAGGGTCCCCGATTTCAGTTGCGTCCTTATATTATGTAGTTCCTTCTTTCTCTTTGGGATAACTACTGGCAATTACAGGAAGCCTATCATCTATGTGCGAATTTTAAACATTTTTTGCTTGCACATTTGGTATTCCAAAAACCTTTTATGAAAGAACTCTGGGTACATGTAGCTGCACAGTATAGTAATCTTCCTCTATCTCCTCTATACAGCTGTGGTGGAGGGTGACTCACTGGATGATATCTATGGCAAGGTGAAGGCTGTGATCCACGAGCAGTCAGGAAACTACATCTGGGTCCCCTCTACTGACACCCTCTAATTAGAGCCCACCATAGACCCGGATTAATTATTGTATATATGGACGACGCTACACGAACTCACGTGCTATTATGTTCTTACACACACACACAAGAGTGCAGACATAAAACTGCTAGATATGAGATAGAGAGAATGAACTTTGACTAGTCACCCAGTGCACCCTTCCAGTACTGCTGTGACAACACAAAAGAGTTTATTATTGTTATTGTGTTGTGTATTGTATCCTGTTGTTGTACACGTGTCTTGTGAAATCTGTTTTTTGATGATGGCTTTGTTTGTTTAGCGCCTGCCAACCGGATGTCAAATTGTGCGCATGTGCATGCGCACTATATATATACTAACTCGCAGGCGCGCAACGAAAACGTACGTTAGGCCGAGACGACAGTCAGTTAGTAGAGTTTAGGGAGGCGGGTGTGCCGCCCCTTGCTGCATGCCCCTCGGCTCCAGCAATCTTATCCTTAAGATCAGAAGCATGAAGTTGTCCTGGACGCTGTATTTGGCTCCCCTCCTGGTAGCCTTTGTGAAGTAAGTTTGGCCTGCAGCTGAGGGACGGGAGCTGCTGTCTCGATTTACTGCAATCACTGCAGAGTCGCCTCCTTGGATGACCCGCCAGCGGTGTGCACTGACAGTGAATCGGGTTCCGTGGTACTGGGTAGTGAAGGAAGGGTGTTTGTCTGCATTGGAAACGCCTGGGGGACGATCTGCAATGACGATATGTTCGAGGAGGTGGACGCCAGCGTCGTCTGCAAGCAGCTGGGACTCTCCAGATTCGGTGCGGAACTACTATCCGTAGCGGAGGCTGCTTACTAGACCTTTGGTCTAGATATGTCCTTCGCTTTGATAATGCTTTCCTGATCTCTTGTCACAGGTCCTACTATAAAACCCCATTACCTATTGAGCACATATAATGGCCCTAGTGACGTTTTGATGGATAGTGTCGAATGCAGTGGTTCTGAGCAGAGGCTGATAGATTGCGATAACAGGAACTCCACTAATATTCCCTGTGACCATGGCGAAGATGTTGCTGTGAGCTGTTTACAACGTGAGTCTAGATCTCTTGCAAAATTTCTCCTGTAAAGTGAAACTCCTCCAATTGGGACATCAATGGGACACAGGAAGATGTCCATATTATAGTGGAACCCTTCTAATCCGGACAGCAATGGGACAGAAGAAAGTGTCTATAATCTTTAAGGTGTCCAGGACACCTTAAAATACCTTATTTAAGGGGTTTATTTGCAACTGGAAAGAAAAGGTTTGAGAGGTGTCCTCATTTCAAGGGTGTCCTTACAGAGCGGTTCCAATTTAAACCTTCTCTCTCATGTGAATTTGTAAGTTAGCATGTAAATGAACCCCTGAAATAAGGACACCTAAAGATTATAGACACTTTCTTCTGTCCCATTGGAGTCCAGATTAGAAGGGTTCCACTTTAATATGGACATCTTCCTGTGGTGTCCAAATTAGAGTTTCGCAAATCTCGATTGCAGGACGGTGTGTCGAGCACGACATTCGGTTGGCAAACGGGAGTGCCTTTGAGGGGCGTGTTGAGATGTGTCTCGAGGAAGTGTGGACCACAATTTGCTTGGAGAGCTGGAACATCCTTAATTCAAGAGTTTTGTGCCGTCAGTTGGGGTACAGGAGCGAAGGTACTGCGCAGTAAGTGGGTTGTATACCACATAACCAGACCTCTTCTGGGAAAAAGTTTTTGGTGCAAAAGTTTTTTTAGACGGGGGACACTTACATTGTGGGGCCTTAAATCTGTGCAAGTCTTATACACGAAATTCACTTTAGCTACAGAAATGACGTTTCTCATTTCCCCCTGTACCGTAACCGTGTGTGTGTGTGTGTGTGCTGCGCATGTGGGTGTGTAAGTGTGAGAACATATAAGAGCATTCATGGTTATACCACAACACCTCAGGTGCTATTCTGGCGCTCCCCACAAGAAACACCAGTTGGCTACTGGATAAGCTGGTTTTGCGATCTTGGCATCTGTGTTGTGGGTATAGTGACCATACCCTTATGGACTTCAAAAGAACGATCATTCCTCATTCATTGCATAACTATACATCAGTACTAGGTCTTCAGTCCTAGTCTGTGCAACATTTGCGTTGTACTGATCATCGCAGTACCCTTCCTCCTGCAGGTGCCAATACACCAGCAAACATTCCTGGACCTATCAGTATGCCTATATACAGCAAGCAGTTTCACTGTTCCGGACATGAGCGGAGGTTATTCGATTGTGAAAAGTCTGGTCCATCTCCACCTCTGTGTAACCACAACCATGACCTCACAATCCAGTGCAACTCAACACGTACGTCTCTTTTTTACAGTTCCTCCATCTCCTCTTTCTCCCTTTCTCCTTCCCCCTCTGTCGTTCTGTCTATCTGTCTAGCTCCTCTCCCCCTCCCCCTTCCAATCTCTCCTACCATTCTCTGTCTGTCTCTCTGTCTGTCTACCTCTCCTCCTTGTCCTATGCCCTCCCCCTCCCCCATCATCCTTTCTCTTTATGCCAAATCTTATCACAGGACTGTGTATTGAAGGAGAAGTAAGACTAGCTGGTGCAAACAGTTCCAGTGGAAGAGTTGAAGTGTGTGTGAATGAAGAGTGGGGGACGGTATGTGGAGATGGTTGGGGAAATACTGAGGCCAGATTTGTCTGTCGCCAACTTGGTTTCTCAAGATTTGGTGAGTTTATCGCCTACCGACACACGCAAGCACACGTGTAAGCTAAGCAGCTCACGCTTTCACGTGGAGAAAGAAGAAAACGAGAGGGAGAGAGAGAGACGAGAGGAGAGAGAGAGAGAGAGAGAGAGAGAGGAGAGAGAGAGAGGCTTCAAAGTGGCTTCACACACACAACATAGACACACGCACACACACACACACACACACTTGCACTACCGTCTGGTGTATACATACATGCCTATAGGTCAAACAGCCGAATATATTATATAGATGCACAAGGCTTGCCCCATAATGCTAACTAGTTCTACATACTATATTATATCATCTGAAAAATAAGGATTTTTAAACATCTTATCAGTGCAACTCCTGCAAGCCACTTGTTGTATTACAAAACTTAACCACTACTGAGCTTACATAATGACTGCATACTTAAGATGCCCACAGTACATAATTATGTTATAAGCCTTTGAAGACACGGAAAGGGAAAAGGGGAAGCAAACTGTTAAGTAATAATGGTGACAAAACTTTCAGGAAAACAAATGAATAGTGATGGAATATTTATAGGGGTCCATGTAATGGCAGCAGCTATTAAGCAAGGCTGTGAATATACTATGACATCATTATTCATACTAATAATTGTTGATTTTCCCAAACTGTATATACTCTATTAGGGGTCTCGCCTTAAGAGGTGGTTGTTTGTCATACTTTAGTGTAGATCAAATGCTTTCGTACTTCTGCATGGGCAAGTGCATTCTCAATGCAAACAAAGGGGGTGCTCCTATATTCACTAAAGTGCAACTCATTTGCACAAAGTGCATGCAATATGGCTTGGCCAACTTGATACTCCACATCTCTGGTATATACTCTGGGAGATCAAATTACACTCTCAATTGGAAATGTCAACAGGATTTACCACACAGCCAGGCAGTGTCTCTCTCTCATACCTTGTTCTAAACCACCTTTGCCCTCACCTCCTACCTTTCTAACCCTTGCCACTTTTAAAAACCCACTTCTCCTCTTCCTTCCTCTCAGTCTCCTATGTCTCCTCTCTCCCTCTGCTGCCATTTCTCTCTCGTTTCCCCGAGCCTCAACCTTTGCCCTATCCTCACTAAATTTTGATTCCTTTAACACTATTCCCCCACCCTCTCTCCTTCTCATCAGTCCCCCATTGTGCTCCCCCTTCTCTCTCTCTCTCTCTCCATCCTCCCCTTACCCCTCTCCCTCCTTCCTCCCTCCCCCCTCACTACTTCTGCTCAGTCCACGTCCTGTTTCCTGTCTCTCCTTCCTCCCCCTCAGCCTCCTTTGCCCCTACCATGGGTCCCGCTAATCCTGGCTCTGGTTTCATTCACCTACGGAATGTGACCTGCGAAGGCTCCGAGCCAAACCTCCTGTCCTGTGACCACGGCAACGACACCAGTGACTGTTCACATGAAACTGATGCTCAAGTCTCGTGCCAGCCCAGTGAGTGTGCACAGCTAAACCTCTGAATAAGGGACACCTTGGGGACATCTGATTTTAGAGATCTAGGATGACAATTACGTCACAGGTGGTGACTCATCAGACTCTGAAATTGATTTCTGTACGTGTGGAGCTGAAGGGAGGGCCCACAAGAGAGGCTGTCCCTTGAGCTACAGGAACCATCTGCCTGGCCGTACTCTGTTTCCTCCCCCAAGTAACCCGGGAGTGTAGGTTCTAGGACAAAGAAATGTGGAAATGGTTACCAGCCCCTCTCATGTGTAGGTTGTGGGCACATTGGTGCATTGGCATGCTATGGAAGTAGCTTATCACAATCTGTGACTTTTGGGAAAGTGGCTTATCTGGTCTTGGCAGGTGGGCAGCTCATACCCAGTGAAAATGCTTGAGTAGTGTCTTCCAGAATAGTACAGTCACATGGGAAGGAATGCAGCAAGAGTGAATCTCCCTTTTGTTTTGATGTCTGTAGGATTTTGACCTCTCACCTTAGCACATGCCAAGCACCCAACCTGCTGAAATCCTACTCTGAAAGAATGAGCCAAAGCATGCCTATACATTAGACTAGTACTGCATGAACACCTGAGCCTGCTTTTTAAGAATCTCTATATACCAATTCTGTCCTTTGTCTCATTATTCCACTCTCAAACCATGCAGGGCTGCCAAACACATTATTATACTATCTTACATATGTAATTGCGGTGGAGTATTCTCTGCCATACCACAGAGTTTGGGGTTTGCCTTTGTCTTGTGTTGTGTTGTAGACCCTGCTGAGCTGCTAGAGCAATCTGTCTAGAAAACAGACTGTTAGCATGTTTTGAGAAGGTCGTGAGTCTAGCAAGGAAAACATTATATTTCATCCCTAGAATCCACACTGTTGTATATATTGACAATGCTGTTTTTTCACTCAATGACTATGAAAACCCAGTCACCGTGTGGTGTTTAATGTGGCGCTGTATTGTCCAGAGTTTGTGCTTCATGCCTGAAAGACATGGATAGATTAATGCATGTGCTATCATCGGCTAATGTGTGTTTGTACTCGTGCAGGAGTGTGTGAGAACGGAGACATTCGTCTGGCGGATGGTCACTCTCAGTACGAGGGAAGACTTGAAATTTGCTACGACGAGATATGGGGAACAGTGTGCAGTAATGTGTGGGTCTCTTACGAGACTAAAGTTGCCTGTAGGGAACTGGGCTTTAGCATGCAGCACGGTGAGAAGAAATGTTACTAAAGATGGAACTATATAAACAATAGGGCCCAGTGCACAGAACTAATTGAGTTTCCGTTTTTAGTAACACTTTATAAATTTAGCCCTGTATACCACCGCATCCTCCATTGGGCTAGAAACCTTTTGAATCACAAGTTTTCTTCCTCAATAGTTTCTCTTTGAGTGACATGTTTACTTAAGGGGTAATTAACTAAACTATGGATGCAATAATTTAACTTTCCAGTAACTGTTTCTACCTTTAGATACTGCCACATTTCCTTTAACTCCAGGGGCTGCACTTGACGATAATACATTTCCAGCTCCTCCTGGTGTCCCCGTCCTACTGAGTGGCGTTTTGTGTGATGGAGATGAAAATGATCTCGAGAACTGCAGGCATAATGGGTTAGGTGTCATGCTTACCTGCGATGTTTCGGGGGACGTCAACATAAGATGTACGTCGGAACCATATTTCCATGTTTGCCTGAAATTGTACACAGCCAGAGTTAACCAGTGCTCCTCCTTCCCTACTCCCTCTCTGGTCCACCCCCTTTTCTTCCTCCCTCTCCTCTCGCCTCTTGTTCTTTCTCTCCCTCTCTCGCTTCCTGGCACCCATCCTTCTCTCTTCCTCTTCTCTGTCCCTCCCTCCCTCCCTCCCTTCCTCCCTCCCTCTACAGGTGGCCAGTGTGCGGAGAACAATGTTACACTAACTCCAGTGGGAGACGGTCACATGAGAGTTGAGATCTGTCTCAATGGGAGATGGGGGACAGTGTGTGCCGATGAGTCGTGGGACAGCAATGATGCAGCGGTCCTCTGCAGAGAGTTGAAACTGGATAACAATGGTATATGGACGGGCCTTTACCGTATTTTGGTTCGTATACACCTAATGCGTACGTTCACATAATGGAGGCAGTTATGTCTACATTTTCACCCAATGTTTGCCTTATTATTGGCAGCCAGTGTGACTTGGGCCGTTATGATAATATTGTTTTGGGAATTCCAAGTGCATCATTCCGGTTGTACAGTATTCTTGTACCGGCCCATTGTCATGAGAAATACCCAAGAATTTGAATTGATGATTAAATCCTTTTCTAGGGTCACAGCTATCGATAAGAAGCAGTTTCCCACTCCTCGACTTACTACCTTTTGTTATGGAGGGCGTGTCCTGCATTGGAGCAGAGGAATCTATCAGTAATTGTAGCTACAACCCCTCTGACGGTGACTGTCCGTCTGGACTAATGGCTGGTGTCCAGTGCTCTGGTAAGACATGTGTCACAACCTCAGTGGAGTCTGCATGTATAGATCATACTCGCTGCATAATATAACCTGCTAAATGACTATGTATGTATGTCCATGAATCATAAGTGAGGTTTAGATTGAAATACTCTTCTGATTGGTCAACTAGGAGCCACATAGCTTCCTCTGTAGGATGAGGAGGAACACTAGGAATGCTATTAAGGAACGCTATTGGGATAGTGTTCACCCCGAAAAAATTTTATGTTGTTTTCAATCCACGTAGTTTCATATGACTCGTGTCGTCTAGTAACTATTACTTAGGTGACATAATAGATAAAGTTTATTTAGAGATTTTGGTTCCAAAATCTCCCCCACAGCCCAGCTAATCCCAACTCCAGCCTCTCCTAGCCCTCTACCTACTGGAGTGGCCTCAATAGCCGTCAGTCCTGCTGAAAGACCTTCTCCAGTAGCTAGTCCCAGCAGCTACACCGTTTCAGAGGCTGCTGTTGATGCTAGCACCGTTGCTGCGTCTAGCTATACAAGGGACAATACTGTTGAACGTAAATGGCCTATCCCTGTTGCCTTGACTTGTGTGTGTTTACTGTTGTTCTTCTTTTTACTGTCTCTCCCTCCCTCTCTCTCTCTCTCTGTACCTCTCTCTCTTGAAGATTGCAATTTCCAACTGGTATTCAGTGGTAATATTGTCTGCAATGAGTGGCTGGTAAGTGAACCTACTATATTATTGTGTGTGTGTGTGTGTGTGCACTGTGCACTGGTGCCAAGGTTTGAGGTGCCACGTTTTCACGCTTTAGGGAAACGATAAGGGTGTCAGTTACACAAGCGAAGTCTTTTTCATGGAACAAAAACCTTTTGTGGCTTACCCATGATACTCATGCACTTTAAAAACGTGTAGTGCTGTATGGTAATAATGTTAGCACCTTCCCCCACAGTTACACCTTGCTGGTACCAAGTTAGCGAAGCTGTCGCAGGGTCTTGCTGCGAGTCTGGATAAGGAGTGCGATTGTGGCCTCACTCCGGACTTCCTAACGCTCCAAATACCACTCTGCCTCCAACAAAATCAGTTTGTGCTCCCCGGACTCCTGTCCGGTACAAACAGCATTGGCTGCAGACAGATCATGGGCTTTTTACAGAGCTGGGCTGCAAGAGGGTCTGAGATCGTTGTCGAGGGAGTTCCACTCACAACCGTCAAAGAATGCTCCGTTTTTCTTGAGCCAAGAGAGGCGCCATCTTGTAAAACAGGCACGTTCCTCCAACCAACGCCACGAGGAAGCCTCTGTTAGAGGTGGTGCTACTCCCTGGCATCATCTCGGTGTTGGGAGCCGTTCTTCTGGCCTTGGTTATTGTTGTGGTGTGCATCGTGGTGTTCAGGGTCCGCAAGAAGAAGGCGAGTGTCAGGTAAGATGTTGAATAATCAGGGGCTCATACAAACCGGGCAAATACACAATCTCATAAGGTGGTTGTTAGTGTGGGATGGCTTACAAACGCCAACCTGAAATAATGCTAGACTACTTTTCCCCTAGACTCTTTCAGTGGAAGTGTTTAGGCAGCGCGCATGCGCTAGTCGGCGGAGACCTAGCGCATGCGCTTGTGCGCCCGCGGCCGTAGCAGTGCGCATGCGCCGAGCCGTGTCACCGGACTCGGAGTGACGCGCACGACGCGGACGCACCTAGTGCTTGGACCAAAGATTTCGCCATAGCGGAAACCCTCGGACACAGAAAAGCATTTCCATTTGACTTTCCAAACTGTATCCCCTGCTGTGATTCACACTATTCACTAAGTATAATAGTTATACTCCGTTGTAAGCACACAACATACTGTATGTCCTTTCTTCTCAGAATCATAGTGCATACTGTGTCGTATTTTCTCAGGTTATCGCAGACGACAACAAACGCTTACAATATGGTGGCCGTCAGTGGTCAAACTGATGATGGAAAGATCATAGAAATCTATGACTCCCCCGAGTACTGTTCAACTGGCATCTATGAGAAAATCGCAGAGCCCTTGCCTCCAATCCCACCAAACGATGACGGCTATCTTCCAGACCCCAACCCCTATCTCACTAGCACGTTCAAAACCAGTAGCAGTCCAACTGCAAATGGTAGCATTCCCAGACAGCAGCACAAACCAAGAGACGACCAAAACACTGAGCCCGGGGCTGGTGTGTATTCTTACGTCGACATGGAGGAAATCGCGTTGAGGAATCGTGCCCCGGAGTATGATGTCCCCACCATGGATGACACTACTGGTGGCTCTCACTACCAACCTCTCCAGCTTCACGACAATGGACCGGAGTACGTCGAACCTCCACTGGATAATACACCCGGTACTGCGGGCAAGTCACACTATCAACCTCTGAAGCTGATAGAAGGCAATCCTGGGCCAGAGTATGACTAGCCCCCCTTTGGATAACGCGGCCAACGACTCGCATTACCAGCCACTGCAGCCAGGGAAACAAGTAGATTCAAGCACTTACACTACTCCTCAGGCTTGTCTGACAGTCGGCCAACCAGTCAGTGGTGATTCTCGAGATAGCACCGCGGCCAATGCAGCAAAGTCTCGCAGCAACCTACAGAACTATAAGGAGCTTATTATCCAGGAAAACGAAACCAGCGGGGACTACGCACGTTTGAACATCTGAAACTTTTAGCATTCTCTTGTAACACAAGTTCAATTTGCCATTTCCCCCTCACATAATTTCTCTAAACCCTATTCTTATCCATTGGTGCGCATGCGTGTATTTTGCAACAGTTTGGTGCGCAAAGCACAGGGTTTTATTAGAACCTAACAACTAAAACCGAGTCATTTTTATTGGGTTGCATCATGGATACCTCCTTGCAACTGGTTTGTTTATTTTGTGCACAGTATGTATATACAGAGCATACTGATTGCATGATGCATGTCTTGCTAAGGTTTGGAATTCAGTTGCACCGTTTCAGAATGACAGCTAAACATACCGTAGCTACTTGCAGTTCTATCCATGTATTGTGTCTGTGGTGTATAGGAAGGCAAAAAGATGTAAGATTTGCCAGCTCTATATACAAATTCTGGATGTTGGTCAGTGGATAAACTGCTTAGTATATACATCCTTGTTAGTTAACACCATCTTTACAACCTTTTGCTCCCAAAAGAAAACTGTGGTATATAATAATTATAGTTTGTTGTCATAGACAACGTGGCTCGTGTCCCGTTACAAGTTGCTAAATGGCCAAATAGAATCCTGTATGCATAATTATGTTGGCCATTATACCATGATACGTATTATGTACTTGCTAGCTGTGTATATAGTAGAAAACCAACCACATCCACCACCATATATGGTACAAGAGCAGGCCACCAAATGCCTATTATAGCCTTGAGAACTGCGTTGTATGGGTTTTTGAGGATTGAGGATTAGCTATAATAAATAGTCTGCAAAAAAATTAGAACATGACTGTGAGTAAAACCACTGTTGAACTAACTCCATGGTCATTAAACTTGTCATTATGCTCACCATAATAATGCGTCAAACTGATTATACATACAGGAGAATGAGTATTGCATGTATGTGTGTAATGAACCAGATGAAGACACAAGATGGGTACATTAATTATTACTGTGATTGACTGGAATTTTCATAACCGTTGGTAGGTCTCGGTGCTGTTAGCCCCGCCTCCTCCTCGTGTGAGGTAGTTTGAGAATGAGAGCCATGAAGAGTGAAGTTTATTCCTTGGCTCCTTATGTTCCCTCGGGTCCCCCTCGGCGGGGGCCGCCTGTGGTTGGCCCCTGTTAATTTGTTTGGGGGACTTCAACTGTGTCTTCACCCACCCCAATCCCTCTAGTAGACCCTCTCCATTGGTAGCGCAGCAGTCTTGGATGTCTGCAGTACACAAGCACATAACACACAGGAGATCTTTTGATCACAGAAGAGCCACTCTACTCTACAACAACCACACTTCTTTTGATACAAAAGCACCGCTAGGGCTTACACCAGGAGCAGGGCAGTTTGGTCAGGTCGAGATTTGTAGACATTTCCTGCACTGACATGGCATTTGGTAGGTCTTGCTTGTTTGCCATAACCAACAGACTGCAGTCCTTGAGCTCGTCTTCTCTTACAAGTCTGCCCAGCTCCGTCTTTACCTCTTCCATCCTCTCCCTGTCGTTGCTGTCCACCACAAAGATGAGTACGTCTATGTTGGGATAGTAGTATCTCCACAGGTATTTCTGCACATAGAAAGTGCGCATTGTTTTTTCAAGCCATCTATACCGCTGTGACATCACACTCTCCTGCTATCATAACTACGTTTCCTTTCTGAATAGACTTGTATCTACACCTGCGGTCCCCAAAAAGGCCTGCACACTCACACTTTTCCCACTGACATCCCAAGTTGTGAAGTCTACACCTTTGTAACTGATGGTTTCCACATTGAAACCTGCAGCAGAGGATATTACATAAGATTACGTACTAGTGCATACACGTCATACAATGTTTGGTTACACGGATTAAAGAATGAAGTGTATTTACACTCTAGCAATAAAGCTGCAGCTATGAACTATAATATTATAGAGGCTTTGCTTATAATTATTTTCTTGGCTTCTTTTCACATTCATTGTTTTGGTATAGAGTTGGTGTATACGCATGGATATTGCGATATTGGTGACTATATGTGATCCACTTTGGCTGCTGGGTTCACTCAGCATACACTCAGTGCTCTCTGTTGACATGGAGTCCTCTTGCTAATGGCTCGGCCGGAGTGAGAGTGTACTACTCACCCACTGTGGGAATGGTACACATTGTCTCCCTGTTCTTCAATCTGTAGAGTATGGTAGTTTTTCCAGCGCCATTCAGTCCTGTGGTAAAATTATACAGTGTCTCAACCATCAGGACCGGCAATCCAACAGAATTAGCTTTGCACCAATTAGGTACGCCCAAGGAAGGGTGTTATATTGTAGCTGACAGAATGGCAGGCAGGCGTAGCTGCAAGCTTAGTTGCGTGGGTTATCACGGCCTGTGTATATAATACTGCAGCAAAAGCATGTCTTGTTGGGTGTAAGGGAGAGGTGTAAGTGTACACCATCAGGTAACCCTAGACTGCACGAAGCTGGCTGGATGCGCATATCCGCTCTACAACTCACCTATCATCAAGACGCGGACCTCGGGCCTCCTCTGAAACTTGGTTTGTATTCTTCTCCACAGCGACTCTCCGTTTCCCATGTCTTCCTACTTCCTTTGCCCACTCCGCACACAAAGCCCCGTACTACTGCACTGTGTGGCTCACGATCACTGCTGCTGCGCGCAGGTAGATGCATTGCGCATGCGTAATAATTCCCGATTCTGCTGCGCGCGCCGGACGTTTGCACAAGCAAGGTGGATCGGACGTTTGGCTCCGACTCCGCGATCCGTGGCATTGCAGTAATCATTAGCCACTGTAGATCCCTATATGTGGGTTATAATAGTCCAGTGGCACAAAATTCATGCTACGACAGTGGTGGGATATACATGTACTGAATTTCGTTACAAAACCAGCCAGATTTCTCCGCTCACTTTCTCAACATCACCATCTTATGCTACTCTTACTAAAGTGACACTTGTAATACATGCATACATCACTGGCTGCTGCAATGTTTATCACTGTCTGTTTTTACCAGTCAAACACTCCCAATTTCCACATGGTTTGTGCTCTTGTACTCTGCATTATACCCTCCGACAACCATCAAGTTGTTGCCTGGAAGGGTGAGCAGTCAGCGCTTGGTAGCGGGCCATGGACATGTGACCAACAACATGCCACGAATCATTTGAAGGCTCATAGCTGTACACTTCATCAGTAGGTGTCTCGCTCTCGCTGTCGTCAAATCCTCCGACTGCAACTAAAACAGTGATTGAAGAGCACAGCTGTTGTGGACCCATATGCAGGTACATCAGCAGCTCGTTGCCACACGTCGAGTGCGGATGTCCGAGCAGCTGAAGCAGTTGTTGGTGAACCTAGTGATATGGTTGCTGTTCTGAGAAGACTCTGGAGGTGGCACGTGAGCACTGACTTGGTGCGGTCTTGACTGGACCAGCCTCCGAGAAGATACAGGTTTCCTCGACACAAGATAAGGAGAGGTCTGTGGAGGCTTTGGGCAGGCTGGCGAGAGTGTACCACTGCTCGCTCTCCGTGTCCAACATCTCGACTTTCTTTACGTAGCCGCTTTCCTCCGACTCGTCCATATCAGGGCTTGGGGTGCGAATGGTTACTCCGGGGCCCAGACGCCCGCCGACGACCGCTAGTTGACCGCCAGCGGCGATCAGATGCTTCCCCGCACACAAGGCAGCGATGCGACCTCTTTTCGTCGGCATTTGTGGCAGAGTTTCTACCCAGCTCTGAGCGCCGTTTCTGTCGCTGGCGCTCGTCAAACTCTGCAGGGCACCTGTCGGAGAAAGGCCGCGGAACCCGCCTACTGCGACTAGCGTGTCTCCAACTATTACTAGTGCAAAGAACTGCTGTGGGCACTCGGGAAGCGTTGACCACTTGCTGGATCTGCTGTCGTACGCGAAGACCGTCTTACCGCCTGTGGTGCTGCAGTAGATGACGTGGCCGTGCGCAACGGCCGATCCGCGGAGAACGTCGCGTGGGGCGCTCTTGCCCTCTTTCCACGTCTTGAACTCCAGTACCCGTAGTCCCTCACTCATGTTTCTTTCTGGTCCCTGAATGCTATTGAACGGGGCTTTTATAAGTATAATACGTGTGCGCATAGTCACCAGCCCCACCCCCTTTTATGCATGCGGCACAGTCACATGCCATGTATGGTTTGTGTGTGTTTACCAATATGCTGTCCATACTTTCAGTATACTGAAGTCGATGGGCTCACAGATTGTACATATATGAGCACACAACAGGTGATGGCTATATCAAAGACAGTGTCCTCTGAATAATACGCTGCAAAGTGCCCCAAAATTACCCAATTGGTCTGTCTGTCACGATGGTTCCAGTTTGTGTGGTTTGGCTGGACATCAAACATAGCAGTCACACTACGTCCTGAGCGACTCAGTGACTCAACTTTTCTGATTGAGTTAACGCTGCTTACACCAGACTAGTTCTCCACCGTGCTCAAAGGAAAGTGGCAGAATGAGGCCATTTCACGTGTGGAGATGTTTTCCTGGTTAAAATGGCCTTTGTATATACATACATTTGTTGTCAGAACGGTGCACAAACCTGCGGTCTTATTGCCTACTCACTGTGTCATTTTGCTCTTCCACCTCACCATCTGTGCAAGGGCAGCCTTGAAACACAACCTATATATGCAAGGGCACCGGGAAGCCAGCCCTGAAACACAGATGGTTATACATACAAGCTTCATCTGACTAAACATAGGATCAGAGTAGCTAATGATTTCAGGCCTCTCTTAGTCGTGGCGGTGTGCACATAGTTCAGATGTACTGTATCTCATTACAACTCCCTGAAGTGGCTAATCAGAGCCAACCAATTAGTTTTGCAGGGAGGGAAACAGTATCTCATCATTTCTTCGCTGTATAGTCTGTGCATGCCATCTTCTTATAAGGAGCAGGGAGTGGTAGCTGCAGCTGTGGCCAGTGTGCGATGGTTTATGTCTCATCACAATATTGTGATTGTAAAATTGTTGGCCGTATTATAACTTCTGCACTAACCCACAATTACATCATTGTTACTAAGAAGATTGCTCAGCAATATATCCGTGGAGCAGCTTGTCCCACAATCACCCTGTTCCCCAGCAGTTGCAGCACCCTTGACTTCTGAGGGCGGTGTTCCCTCTCCACTTTTTGTGAGCATGTGTAATAGTGTGTGCTCTCCTATGCGCTGGCCGCGTACGCATGCGCAATTAATTACGGGCTTGTCGCGTATGCGCGCCTAAACACAATCATGGCGGCTGAGCAGTATAACGGAGGAGTCGAATTTCATTCGGACACGGACGAACCCATCGACCACGGAGGCTCTGGGGACGAGGCTGATGGCGGCGGGGGCGGCAAGGAGGAAGAGGAGAAACTGGACCCTGAGCGGGTGATGGAACAGCTACTGTACTTCCTGGACGAGCTGGAGGCCGTGGAGAACGGAGACAGCGACGAGGAGTTGGCGGAGGTAGAGATGAAATACCGCCACCTCCCGTGGAGAGGCCGCTGCTGGAACGTGAGCAGGAATAATTATGTAGTAGCTCAGGGTAACAGGGTGGGCGCGGCCTACATGGGCGCCAACTTAAATTTCACAAGCGCTCAGTATAATGCATTTTACGCGCGCAAAAGTTTGTTGGGAGGATAGGACATTGCTTATAATGGTGGCAGAGGAGCTCCTCTGTAATTTGTTAGTGCTCATCTTAACATTGATTTTTGAAAGGGAACACGGAGTCATGAATGTTTCTCCCTCATCCGCCTCCCACTGTAGCTACGGTACATACATGTGTGTATGACTTATGACTACAGGGAGAATTTGTGAGGATTCCACGTAGAGCCGGCAGAAGAGCTGCCGAGGATACCGTGAGATACCGCCGCAATTACCCAGTGAGCCCCTCTGATAATTATACTCATGTGACGGTCATGTGATCTCTGTGCCCGCCGTGTTGCACGTTGCAGGATATCCCCACTGGGAAGTTCTTACCTTATCTCAACGACAATTCTGACTTCTACCAGAACCGTCGAGCTGCCTACCCGTGTGGTATGACCATCATAACAATGGAACCCTCTCTCCCTGAAATGAGGATACCCCTCTAATAAGGGCCCCTTTTCTAGACATGCGTTTCATAAATATAGTATTGCGTACTACTTTGCATCTTTCTATCCTATTTCTCATAAATAGGAGAGTTTATTGACAATATGCACACAAAGTGGTTTGGCAAATATAAGAAACTGGAAACGGAGAAAAACTACATTGAATGGTAAGATCACATGATCGTCACATGTCTAACGTCCCATGTCATGTGACCAATCAATAGGTTGTTTCCTATCAGAGAGATTGGTACCAACTGGCATGCTCAGGATCTTCAGATACGAGAAGTGAAGGTAGAACTATATACTATGATGTCATCATTTGGCATTAATTGGTGGGTGTGGCTAGACTATCATAGGTGACTGGGGTGCGAAGGTGAGAATTCTCTCGTCGTATGAGATGATGTTAGACTTTTGGGGCATGAGGCTCAAGGACCATGCTGCCGGTGAGTTGTGTGGTACTCTATTATTGGCATAGTTTGTAAAATTACACCCCTTCGAATTTGATTTATGTTGGGCCTGATACACGTATGTACATGTGTGCCAGAACCTCACACTCCAGAAGACAATCATAATTTTCAGTAACGTTAGCTAAGTCTAATGCTTGGAGATTACAATTTGGTTCATGGTACACCCCAAATGCATGGACACCAATGAAAGTGTGCATATTAGAGAGGTGTCCTCGTTTTAAATTGCAATTGCATGCACGAGACTGTTCTTGGGGAGAAAAAGGTGTCCGTATTAGAGAGGTGTCCTCTTTTCAGGGGTGTCCTAAGGGAGACACTGTATTCGTGTCAACAGTGTTCCACTGTACACATGGTGTGTTGCAGGTATCTGGAGAGGAACCCCGCTGGGTGGAGAGTGAGGTTCAAGTGTCTCAACAACTCCAGTTCCTGTCACAGACACATCACTCGCATGTTCAAGTTCCTCGGAGAAGTGGATCACGAGAAATACAAGGTAGTTTACTGGGTGATTTACTGACTGGGGAAGTATAGTTTACTGACTGAGGTAGGCAATTTCCTGGTTGGTTTGCTGCGGTAGGTATATAGTTTACTGGGTTATTTTAGTGTGGTAGGGAGTTTACTAGGTGATTTACTGATGGTATAGTGACATAACAGGATGATTACTGACAGTAGATATACTGAGGTAGGCTATTTACTGAGGTGTGTAGTTTACTGGGTGATTTACTGATGATATACTGAGAGATTACTGATTTTTCAGCCCCCATTTGTGGAGTTCATACTGCGAGAGGCCATCACTGAAGGAACACTGCCAAACACATTGGACCCTTGTCTCGAGTACTGGGTGGACATCATTAGGTATGTATGTTACAACTTACTAGAATCCGACAATAAGATGAGCTCTTACAGCATTGGAGCCCAGAAATTTCTCAGAAAGAGTATCGAACCTTAGGCTTCTCCCTTGAGGGTGTATACCCCAGCTTCAGCGGTATTGACAGTGCAGTTGCAGGTAATACTGATAATGTATACAGGCATAACCTTGTCATGGCTTCCCGGGCTACAAGTAATGTTGCCCCCTCCCCCACTCCACACACACCACACACACACAACCTTCTTTAATACCATGATAAACGATGCAACTTTTCTGTTGCGTCGAGACAAAGTTGCTTCAAGTACGGTATGATAACAACAAACATGGTTGGGTGTCTCATGGACCCATCACAACCATACATTTGAAGTTGCATGCAAATTTGTCACTCGTAACAAAGTTGCATCGTGTATCACTGGCCTTTACTCTCCTTTGCTACATGTATATAGCATCCTCTCCTTCATATCTCTCCCTAGGTCCGGGACAGAGAGGAGAAGGCTGAGGAGACTAGCAAGACAACTAGCCAGAGAACACAACCTGAGAGTCCTGGAGAAGAGACTCAAGATAGAGGCTGACACTACTACTCACTCTTGAACTAATCTTCACACACAAAAACACGCGCAATAATGCTATTGTTATAGTCTCATTGATCTTTTCCAGTAATTTTTTGGTTATTTTGAAGCCAATACACCACCACACTGGAGTTGTTGTTAATGGTTCCCAATGTGTGTCCGTGTGTGTGATGGGCTCTAAGGGCATCAGTTATGCAGCCGGTATATAGTAGCTATCGATCATTACGTTGACTGCTGTATCCTGTGTTTAATGCAATTCCTCGCCCTTATTCAGTGCTACCTATTATATAGCCATTATATCTTCGCTGTGTGCTTAGAAGGATATCATTTTATACACATTATGCACTGTAGTGTTTATCTAAGTGTGTCTCAATTGCTTGGGTAGTTAGTTAGAGTGGTATTAATTGTTCCTTTCTCTTCACTTGTCTTTGTTTTCCCCATTCCCATTATCCCCCTTCTCCTCACCCATCTTGCCGCCCTTCCTCTCTTGCACCAGCCTTTTCCCCCTCACCACCTCCACTGTTCCCAGGACCACCTCCACCTTGCTCCTCCTCACCAACCTCGTCTTTCCCCTCCTTCCCCTCCCTATCTCCATCACCGTCCCCTTCCTTGCTCTCCCCCTGGTCGCCATTATGCTTGCCGTCTAAAGAGGCTGTTGCAGGATGCTGCGTTTTCACTTCTCCTTTGCCGTCCTCCACACGGATCTTTCCTCCATGACCATTCGCACCAGCAACTCCCTCCACTTGCCCTCCGTCTTCTACCCCACTCTGCCCCGTGTGGCTTTCGTCAGGAGTAGGTTCTTTCTCTTCCACCATTCCCGTCCCCATTCCACACGGTCCCTCAGTTCCTGCCCCCATTCCACACGGTCCCTCAGTTTCTGCCCCCGTTCCGTGTATTACCTCTTTCGTTTCAGTCCCTGTCCCTATTCCATATGCTTCCAAAGGCATTTCTTTCTGGGTGCTGCGAAATCCAGGCCGGCTCATTCGTTGTGATTGAACTGGCAATGATTGGGTCACCATCTGCGATTCAGGTTTGCTCTTTCCTCTCTTCTCTTTCCTTGGGTGCTGGTTGGGACCTTCCTTGGGCATTCACTCGATCCACCATTTCCCCAGCAAACCTCCACATTTCCTCTCTCTCCTCGTCTTTCTTCAACACCTCCACCCAGTAGCACATGCAGCTGCTGAGGACATTCCTCAGACGACCGGTTGTGATGGCCTCGTGCAGCATGAACTCTATGAATGGGGCCTTCAGATGCTCCATTTTGAACTCCCCCAGACACTTTAGGATACGGGTGATCCTGAGGTAGTTGTGGGATGAATGGTTGAGGTTTTGAAACCTCTTTTGACAGTTGGGGTTAGCAGAGAGTTCACCTGGTGATAAATTTTGGTATATAGCACTTTAGTCATTAAAAACAGAACGTACCATTTTGATCCATCTGTATCCCATAAAAGTCTAGCATTAGCTTGTAAGAGAACAACAGTCTCTTAGTGGCCTTTTCGTTTGCCAGGATATTCTGCACATGAGTATAAAATGTGTGGTAAATGTGTGGTATTATGTACATTATGTTGTTATGTATTATACATAATGTCTCTGTCTCAAATGTACAATTCTCACTAGCCAAAAGTTGTACATACATCAACTTCGTGGAGTTGTAGTTCCTGAGCATGCCAGTTCATCCCCTGCTCTCTGATGGGGAACAACCTGTGTTATTGGGGGAGGGGGAGGGAGTATGCTAATATTGTTATGACAATGGCATAGATATCATACCACTGTATGAAGCTGTGGTTCCACTCCAATTCATCATAATTGCCCCACATTTCTCTGTGGAAATCATCAATCTTCATGCCATTGGGTCGAAAAGGGATCTCATTCATGTAGAACCGGTAGTTATCAGCCAATTTCTCATCATCTCTCTTGCCCTATGAGTTATGATTCATGATGCATCACATGACTATCACATGATACTCACCGGGTATCCGTCACGATACCTCTTTGTGTCTCGAGTGCTCCATGAAGATGGTCTGTCTGGAAGTTTGAGCCTCGGTTGATATCGTTGAGTGGGCTACATTGAAATAGTTACTAGTTGTAAGTAGTTGAGATATCAGGCTTACCCAGCTACGAATGGGGGAAGTGGAACAAGCTAAAGATTTTCACTCCTCTCTATTTGAGTTACCTGGTAATCATAGGAGGAAGGCTGATAGGATCGCTGAGCGGGCTAAAACAAATGGAATCAGCTAATGATGACACCAGCCACTTAAGATGTTTTCTTACCAAGTGATGTGAGTGAGAAGGCTGTCTTTGGTCTCTTTGTCCAGGGCCTCTCATAGTTTTGTCATCGTCATGCTGTCCTTCCACCACACTTTCATGATCTTTCACCTCTTCCCTCTCCGAACCATTAATACTGCATTTGCAACATATCAATAATCGTTTAATTGCGGATTTACAACCCTGCCTTTCGGAATCCAGGCTGGGATCATCACATTCGTCACACTTTTCATCCCAAAACTTGGGGCTATTAGCATCTTCCTTTGCCACAGTTTTGTTGCTCATATCTCTTTCCTTAACTCCCTTCGGCTTGATAATCTCTCTTTGTTCCCTCAAGTCCATCTCAGTGGGGTTGTCATTCGCCCCCTCCTTGGCCCTCGCCTTTTCTTCACCTTTATCCATACCCTTCAACTTGTCTACTTCCTGATCATTGGCACCCTCTGCTTGCTTTACCGACAGCCCATCTTTCCCCACCCCTTTGGCACCTTCCCCCTGTGCCACCGTGACCAATACGCTCCCCTTCTTCTCCTCGCTCACCTCCGTATCTCCTTGGTTTTCTCCTGCCTGCTGCTCTTCGCCGGCTTTCCTCGCGGTTTCCCCAGCCCCTCCTTCTCCAACAGTCATGCCTGAATCATTGGCTGCTGACTCCCATTCCATATCTTCCTCGGCAACCTGCCCGGGCAGCGGTGACTCGGCCATTGTTGCACACGCCCCCTCCAGTTTCTACTGCCGGAACACGGTGGGCGTGGCGGATCCTGCTGCGCTCTTGTGTGCGGTAAGCAGCGAAGTGAAGGTCAAGGATTGAAGGCATGGCAAACGAGTCAGTGGTGGTGCAGTCTCGTCTGGAGAGGCATATCAAACTCAGGATAGGTAGGATTGCAGCTACACAGCGAGAGTTTAGTCGTTTGCATGCCAAAATCGTGCAACATACAGGTTCTGTAGCTCTGTTGCGTAGCTTTTCTCTCACTCTGCGTAGTTCAGAAGTGAACGCGGAGGCTAACTAAACCTCCAGTTGTGTGGGTGGTAGCAAATAGCTATGTAGCTCGCTGTGTAGCTAGTGCTAATAATGTAGCGCTAAGAGCCCTAACTAATCCCCATGAGAACCAACGCTGCTAGCTACATGTACGTACTTACATCTACGTGTACGTGTTGTCTACGCCTCTGTTCAGGTGAGGCATTGCTGCAAATCATGTGCCTATAGAACAGTGTGTTTTCCCTGAAAACATTGCAGGTGAAGTGCGTAATATCCCTCCACCAGCCAGGGAACTGAGAGGTAAAGAGGGAAGGGACAGCTATGTCATCGTGGCTTTGGACAGAGAGGAGATTTTTAGGACAGCCACAGCTGAAAAATCACTGAGGTAGCTATTTACACACTGTATGCAGTGCCTGTGAGAAGAAGAGAAGGGGAAAGGGAGAGACAGACAGACTGACCAACGGACAAAAAACCGACAAACCCATTACTTTTCCCCAGTGTTCATTGTATTATAACAAAGCTCATACTACTCAACTTGAGTCCACAAGTCAATGTGTTTATCAACTCCATACCGCAGTCCTTTCTTTGGGGAAGAATTTGGATTCCTGGTCCCACGTGACTTCAGACAGCTGTCGTTTTCTATGTGATGGCAAACGATTGCCTGCCTCTGTCGAGAGACGCAAAGATTGGGAAAGTTGCCATTTACAAAGACGCTCTAATAACGGTGTGTGTCTACTTCATGCTTTGCGTTGTTGATGTACTGTATGTAGTCGTGATGTGTTATAACTGCATCCTTACTTATATTATATAGTCTACATACGTTGAAATACGATGTTTTCTAACTTTACACTATATTCTTGTATATACTATGTCCTGTTTGTCGGTTACATAATGGCGTTCTAACTATGTCTAGTGTATTCTATATGGGATAGTGTGTAGTCTGACGTGTGTACTATTGACTAGTAGTGTTATGTATGGTGGTTGTAGGGAGAAGCCAAGGAAGACAAATGGTATCGACTCCAACCCATTGATCTGGATTCTGAGGTCCAGGTAAACGCAGGTCTTCCTCTACTAATGTTTCACTGAAGCTTTTTTTTGTGTCTCTCTGCCCTTTCATCACTTCTCTTCACCCACTCTCCTTTCTTCTTTCTCTCCCACTCTCCTTTCTCCTCTTCCTTCTGCACATTTTCCTTTAAAAGGGAATGTGGCAGTATAAAAAAACGAAACTCAATTGAATTCTTTCACTGTGCCCCTATTGTTCTATCTTTAGTAATATTTATAAATTTAGCCCTTAGATACTGCCACATTCCCGTTAAGTCCTTTTTACCCACTCCCTCCCCCTTCTTCTTCTACCCTTTCCTTCCTCTTTCCTTCCTCTCCACCTTCACACACCCTACCTCCTGTTTCCCCGCCATATCTCCATTTCAGGGCAAGGTCCATCTGTTATTCAACTACAGGGAAAAGTTTGATGATGGTCAAACATACTTTGAACTCAGTGTAAAGTGAGCTTCTCTATTTACATACATACATACAAACATTCATCTTCCAGTGAAGGTCCTAGTTGGCTAGCAAAGCAAGTTTACCAAGTGAATTAAACAACTTATACATGGCTTTTCTGGCTTTTGCGTCGTGTTTAGTACATATATAGCTTCTTGATGTGTGCATGGTTTGTACCAATGGCTGGATGCAGTTTAGTCATCTTTGAAGTAGACGCACACCTCTGTCAATCAGTGATAAAGTGATTTTACTACTACAAATATTCAAAGTTACTTGTGTGTATACAGTCATTTTATGTCCATTCAACGTATGCAACCATGAAAGGATAAATTTTGCTGCCTCGGGGCGATGGGGCATGCAAACATAATACTAGTAATTATAATTCAGTGAAGAATGAGCTTATTAAACAGACTTACTTGTGCTCATGATTTGATAAATTTTTCTCTCACTGTATAGAGTGATAGAGGGCTGTGGACTGTCTGGCCTCGGTCCAAGTGGGTTTACCGATCCTTACGCACAGGTTGTCATTCTGGGACCAACCGGTTTGATGTACGTACATTAGGTCACATGACTACCACATGACCTGTCACATGACAATCACACGCACAGGTCGGAGGTGAGGAAAGGGTTAATTCACAGAAAGGACAATGACCCACAGATGAACGAAACTTTCTTTTTTCCAGTAAGTTTACCACGTGAAAACCCAAGGCAGATCAGTACGTATAGTGTTTAGAAGAAACCAAAGAATTTTTAATGCCAGGACATTTTGTTAGTATACACTCCATGGCAACTGCCTTTGGCCCGAAATGCAAATATGGAGCCTCATAAAAAAAAATGTAAAAAAGTGCCGCAGTACCAAAATGTTGAGATATTGTAGTTAGCTCTATGGAGGTATTATGTGTATTTGTAAAAAAAGTGTATATGTAGTTTGAATTTTGACATAATATTGTTGATGTATACGCTGTGTGTTTGTTTGTGTATCTGTTTTATAGCTGAGCGAGACTGAGTTGAAAGATGCTATTGTCAGGTACAGAGATAAGTAAAAAGCAACTCGCAAACGATGAACCAACAGAAATTACAAAATACCAACATTTACGTGTCTTTCCCCCTGCAGGGTGAGCTTGTGGCACCACACGTCACTCTCAGAGGACCTCTTCCTGGGCCAGGTCATGTGACTCCCATGTGACCAGTCATGTGACTGGTTAAGTAATGATAGAGTGTACTATGTAGCAATACATTATGGCAGAAAAGCAAAAAAGTTTCGACCTAGAAAAGCCCCTCTTACTGCATTGATCATTTGTGTGAAGCAAGCCCACCTTGTCTGCCATTGGCCACAGTGTTTGTTTGATGCTGTCCGTACTGCAATGCATTCGCTTCTTTGACAGCCTCTTGCGCCGGGAGTCGCTGATGGTGAAGGTCTGGCACCCAGGGAAGGTGTAGAAGGCGACATGTCAGCTAGTTGCATAATTCTGAACACGTTCACACTATCTGCCTTAGCCAAAGTTTTGCTTGGTGCTGTCCGTACTGCAATGTATTGTACTAAACTGCAATTTACTAAACACATTCACACTCGTGTTTGGTACACGTTTAAACTCGTGCTTGCTCTCCAGAAATTAAACAAACCCTATTGCTGTATGTTCCTGCACATAGAACCTAATGTTAGATACCATTACGGATGATGTGTAATGCTCTCCCATAACAGGTGAACGTGTCCACGAGTGAAATAGACAGTTCCCGTGCCTACCACGGCTGGTTCCAGTTGTCACCGCGGCCGCCAGACACCCAGAGTGTCCTACAGGACAAGGTTGACCTGGGGACGATGCGGCTCAGCGTCAGCTACTCTCAGGACAGAATCTTCCCTCTCGAGATGTACAGACCTCTGCAGACACTGCTGCTACAGACACTGGAAGTCCTAGTGAGACGTCAGGAATGGCTGCGTGTGCAGTTTGGATATGTTAGGGATGCTGCACTTGTGTCTCCTCAGAATGAAAGTGCACTTATTGGGAAGACATATCTCATTGGGTGGAATGCACATGCATAGAGAGCATAGCTGACTAGACGTTTCAGTGCAATGTCTAACTCTTTATCTGCCTTCTCTCCATGTCTGTCCATGTGTTTCTCTCACTATCAACATCTCTCTCATGATTCATCCTTTCCTCTCTTCTCTCCCCCATTCTTCTGCCCTCCCTTTCTTCCTTCTCCCCTCACTCATCCACCCCCTCCCCTCCCCCTCTGTCTGTGTGTTCAGGATATCACGGACTCAGCTCTCTATATCCTCAGTGAGGTCTACAAAGACAAGTCCAGCATGACCCGCTCACTAGTCAGAATCTTCTTCAAACTTGGCTCTGTGAGTGACGGGGAAAGAAACATGGCAGAGAGTGGGAGGATGAGAGAGAGGGAGGGAAGATGAGAGAGAGAGTGGGAAGATGAGAGAGAGGGAGGGAAGGAGCCCTGATGTCTGCCTGTAGATTAACTACTTGGCAGCTATTCTGTTCTTCTTAGATCCCTCCGCATTCTTGTCTAGGTCAACTGCCAAATCTGGTATTAACCTCTTCCCCTCCCCACTCCCTATATACCTCTCACACCTGTCTCTTCCTCTCCCGCCTCCTCATCCCCTCCTCTCCTCTTCTTCCCATCCGCGTTCACCTCTTCCCTCAATCTGTCGTCTCAGTTAGAGCAGTTGATAAAGAGACTTATTGAGCACGAGGTCTCCGTGACCTCTGACCCCAACACCCTCTTCCGTGGCAACAGCATAGCAACCAAGATGGTTGATGAGTTCATGAAGCTCATTGGTCTGTCGTATCTCCGGAGAACTCTACAATGCTGTATTGATGAGGTATGTCAATGACATTTTTGCTGCAAAACAAGCAGGTCTATAACTCATTGCTGACGTGTACTGTTTAGATATTTGAGTCTCGGAAATCGTGTGAAATTGATCCTTCAAAGCTGTGTGACGGAGAAAACATTGATGTGAACATGGTATGTATGTAATTGCTATAGGAAATGCCATGTGTGATCAATCAGTATGTTCTCCCCTCTCTACTTTTTTCGCACTCTCTCCGTCTCACTCTCTTACATCTCCCCCCTCTTTTCCCTCTTCCCTCCTCCTCTTTTCCCTCTCTCTCTCTTTACCTCTTCTCTCTCCCCTCCCTCTCTCTCTTCCCATCTCTCTTTCCCCCTTCCCCCTCTCTTCCTTTTCCTTTACCTATTCTCTCTCCCCTCCCTCTCTCTTCCTATCTCTCTTCTCCTCTTCCCTCCCACTATCTTCCCTCTCTCCCCCTCTCTCTCTTCCCATTCCCTCTCTCCCTCCTCCTCCCTGCACCAGACCAACCTCTTGTACTTTGTGGAGAAGATCCTCAGTGCCATAGTGTCTTCCTCTCTCTCTTGTCCACGCCTCATGTGCAGAATATTCTCCCTCCTCTCTCAAGCGGCTGTCAGAAAGTTCCCTGGTAAACCTACATACACTAGAGTGAAATAAAGGCGAGATAGAGATTAGTACAGTGAGATAGCAACGAGATAGGGCACATTACTATTCCATATTCCGACTTTAGTTTAAGGATAGTTGGTTTGTCTCTTTTTCCGCTCATGTGCCTATAAAAAATGCAAAATCGTTGATAGCCTTGAGGGAGAGGCAGCGAAAATACAACTCCATACTCCAACTGTAGTCAAAGTATTAGTTTGTCTCTTATTACACACATGTGCCTGCAAAATCGTTGACACCCTTATTTGTGAGATTGGGAAAGGGACAGAGAAATTCAGGCAGGATAAAGATTCGTAAAGCGAGATAGGAATAGGTGCAGCGAGAAAAAGTATGTTACTATTCCATACTACAACTGTAGTCAAAGTATTAAAGATAGTTAGTTCGTCTCTTATTCCACATATGCGCCTACTAAAAATGCAAAATCTTTGACACCCTCATTAGCTAAAATTGGGCAAGATAAGGATAGGTGCAGCGAAATAGAGAGTATGTTACTATTCCATAGTCCAACTATAGTCAAAGCATTGAGGATAGTTAGTTTGTCTCTTATTACACTCATGTGCCTACAAAAATTGCAAAATCGTTGACACCCTTATTAGAAGGTTGGTAGAGGCACACCCAAATTAAGGAAGCGAAATCAGTGTGTCTAGTGTGGTAGGCATGGGTACGTATATTATGCCGTATGTAATATCGTACAGAAACAATGTTATACAATTTAACCCTGTAATCTGTCACAGATAAACACAACATAGTCCAATACACGGCAGTGAGTGGGTTCATATTCCTAAGGTTCTTTGCTCCAGCCATCCTCTCTCCTCGTCTCTTCCAGCTCCGATCTGAGATTCCCGTACGTTCCGTCTGATCAGTGGTGTCACTCTGTGCTAAAGCTTATCAATATTGATCTGAGATTCCTGTACGTTCCGTCTGATCAGTTCTGATCAGTGGTGTCACTCTGTGTTGAGACTAGTCAATGTTGATCTGAGATCCATGTATGTCTGTATGGGTTGCTGATCAGTTATGATCAGTAGTGTCACTCTGTGCTAAAGCTTATCAACGTATGTTTGTATGGGTTACTGATCAGTGTTAATCAGCTGTGTCATCGTTGTTAAAATTATATTAAGGCATCGGCTAATGGCATCAATATGATTGTATTTTTACTGATCGCTGGTTGACTTTGCAGACCCCAGTAGTAGCACGAACACTGACCCTCATATCAAAGACAGTACAGAGCATGGGCAACATTGGAACACTATCAAACAAGGTATGTGACATCAGATGACATCACAGGTGTATCACATGACTCACTGATGACATCACACTGCAGTCATCGGGAAGTCATAAGGAGTCCTACCTGGTCCCACTGAATGAACAGCTGATGGACGAGAGTCATATCAGAGACATCAAGACAGTCAGTTTCCCAGTCCCCATTCACATGGTCCAATTCTCCCGTTCAATTCCATACATGCCCCGATTTGCTGTTCACTAATTCTGCCAATTGCATTCAGTAACTCCACAGTACCCACAATTCTAATGCTTGCACTTCGTCATTCACATTCTGCCATCCACCCATACTGCCACCGGCACCTCCATCATATACCCATACTTGCATTCTGTCATTGCCCTTGTCATTCACCCATACTCCCATTCTGTTGTTCACCAATTCTGCCATTCCGTCATTCACCCGTACTCCCATTCCCTGGTTCCAGTACCTGACAGCCATAGCAGACCCTACAGGAGGCCAAGACATTGGACTGGATGACCTCACCTACAGAGAAGGGTGGGCACATTCCTATTCCCCCATACTTTCATAATCACATTCTGGCCCCGCCCACCCAGATTCCTGATAAAGAGGTCACAGGGGAGACGGAAAGGGCCGAAGGGACCTAAGAACTTCAGGAGACGATACTTTGTTCTGACGGGCAAGTCCCTGACCTATGCCAAGTCTCGGGGCGACTCTCCGCTGTGTGAAATTCCTCTCTCTCACATGCTGGCTGTGGAGAGAGTGGAAGACCAGGCCTTCAATATGAAGTTTGTGAGTCTCTGTCTGAAGACTGTGGAGCATGCTGGCTCTGCAGTTCTCTTCCGTATATGTATACCACCACTCAGTGTGTGCCATTCATTATGTAGGTATCATTACACTCAGTACGAAATTACAGACACACCCTTGGAGCCTAGCCCCATAGAACAGTATTGCCCCACTTACTGCATATTATTTATAAGTCCCCAGCAAGTCGTTGTAAGACCCCACTACGCTGCTCCGTGTCACAATCCTGGTTCCATGCAAGCATCAACGAGGCCGCGAGGCAACTCCACTACCATTCAGTGTGCCTTTCATTTTTAAGAGGCGATTGAAGCAAGCGTTTGTTGTTGTTTGAACTATGCATGCTCCTAGCATATTATGTTCACAAACGACAACTCTGCCACTTGACAATGCACAGTCATCGTTTACAAAAAAACCGCAGGAGTAAATAGGTTTTTGCTGACTTTGTAATATTGTGTTCTGCCCTGCCCTCCCTCCAACAGATGTTTCAGGTTGTTCAACCGGGCAGGATCCTGTACATGCAGGCCAAGAACAGCGTGGAACTAAAAGAATGGTTCGTAATCGGAAAAATGACAGGGGGCCCGTGATTTCGACCCCTCTTGCAGGTTGTCGTCACTGGCGAGGGTGTGTGGAACAGGTGGCGGAAGACAGGACATGTTCCACGCTGGAGCCTTCATCAACAACCAGTGGACCTGGTACGTAGGTGACGATGTCGTGGTGATGTAACGATGACATAATTTTCTATTACATCGCTCAGTTGTGGTGGTATCAGAGATGAACCTAACTCTGGCTGCAAATCTGTCACACTGTAAGTCCCAGTGATGCAGAGAATTTTCAATAAAATTTCCCCTTGGGTTCACTCTCTCTTCTTCTCCTTAACATCTTCCCCCTCTCTTCCTTCCACCCCTTCTCTTCTCCCCTTTCTCTCTTTCCTTCACATCCCCTTTCCCATCTCCCGTCCTCTATACTTCCTCTTGTCTGTCTCCCCCACTTCTCTTCTGCTCTTTCTCTCTTCCCCCTTCCTAATTCCCTTTCCCTATCTTTTTCCTCCTTTCCCTTCCATAATGTACTTATCCCCCCTTCCCTCCCGTCTTCTTCCTCATCCCTCTCTATTTCTGTCTCTTCTCTCCCTCCCGCCTCCCTCTAGAGCTATGCAGGTATTATCGGGTCGTGGAGACATTGATCTGGAGAGGGAGCTGAACAGGGTCTACCGCATGTTCCTCGAAGGTCAAACCAAACTCGTCACATTGAAAGGTTAGAACAAATCTAGCATCCATAGTAGCCTTCACAACCTATGTGTGTGCGTGTTAACGTGATATCCGTGCAATGCTGCACTATTAATCCTTTAATGTCACTAAGTATGGTAGTATAGCCCTCATGGTACCTAGCATCATAGATGTATGGGGCTATAATAGGGAGTTTTGTTCACCAATAATGTTTGCTATTGTATAACACTATACATGGTAGTAACATATTTCTCTTTTCTTCCATTTCTGCCATTGCTGCTCCCAAAACGTCAACTCCACCCCCAAAGGAGAGGCCACCCTGTCAGCCAGAAGAGACTCAACATCTCTGCCGTTGAGAGTCAGCAACCTCTGCGAGCTGCTCATCTTTGTCAAGAACCTCGAACTCTCCTGCACGGCCCAACCTGAGCCTCAACTAGGCTCCAAGTAAGTACAGTGGAACCTCCGATAGAGGCCCCCCCCAAGATAGGGCAAGATAGAGATTACCTCTCTATGTGTTTCAACCATATCTTAACCCCCGATAGAGGGCCCCCCCCAAGATAGGGATTACCTCTCTATGTGTTTCAACCATATCTTAACCCCCGATAGAGGGCCCCCCCCAAGATAGGGATTACCTCTCTATGTGTTTCAACCATATCTTAACCCCCGATAGAGGCCCCCCCCAAGATAGGGATTACCTCTCTATGTGTTTCAACCATATCTTAACCCCCGAAATGAAGTCACCTCACTCTGATCATGAAAATGCACTTTCGGTCCAGTTTTTTGGATTCGTACCAACATCTTAAGTGCAATGGAATGAGACAAAGCACAATACCAAAGGATGCTAATCAGCATGCATTCCCTCTCCATTTGTTTACAGTGGAATGAACTCTATGGAGCCAACGATTTTGTCCAGCTTGTAGAGAGGTCGTCCCTATATTATCTCGGAAGTATTAGCATGGGGCATGCTAAAGTTTTTCTATGGGGAGAGAAGTGTGTTATTTTAGAGAGGTGTCATCATTACGGGTGTCTGTCCACTGTATTCGTGTTATTGTTCCTATGCCCCGCCCACAGACACGCCCCCTATGTGTGTCCGGTGGATCAAGCACTGGTCGTCAGATGATAATAGCTACTGGAGAACACACAATATAGAGAAACACCTGTTTTTACTGCCTTTATTATACACATCATCTCTCTGCTAATACTATCATCTCTCGTGGAATTCGTAGTTTTTAACAAAGCTTCATGAATATCATTATACCCGCTTTTATAGGCGTATATACGTGTGCGCGCAGTGTGTGGGGCGCCAGGAGCACGTTATAAAACGCGTGGGTTTTCACGCTTTCGGCTTTGCAGTGTAGCAGTGGAGCTTGTGAGTGGAAGTTGGTATGGCGGACTATTCTAGCATGGACGAGGCGACGCTCAACGAAAAGGTTAGGGTACTATAGTTACACAGACTAGTGTAGCTCTATCAATATGCAATTTGGTCGGTTTATGAGCCCCCTAGGCAGTCCACTGTTTGCGTTTTTCGCTTGGGTGACGTGGTGTGAGCACTGGGAGAAGGCGAGTAGTGGGCAAACACTGCGCGCACCAAAAACACAGGGCAGCTATTAGATATAGCTTCTTTTATACATGAAGAAATTAAACCATGTGATGCCAAGAGAAAATGTTCGCCTGCTGCTTCCCCACGTGCTAGAAAATGTATTATGGATTTCACATGGGGTTGTGAATCCGTTTTTCTTTCTCCTCCCTCCTCCGTTTGCTTGCAGCTGAACGCAGCCACAGACTACGAAGAGAGAGCTAGCATCCGCAAGGCTCTCCGGCAGCTGAAAAAGGATCAGGGTAGGCCCGTTGGACGGACGAGCAGACGAGACGCGGGCTACAACAGGTTCGCAGGGACCAGTGCAACTACCACGAAACCCGTCACCCCCAAAAGCTACATTGTGGGGCAGAGTGCGGAACAATCGGTAAGACCTCTCGATTCCACGTCTTACCACCTTTCTATCCCCATCATCTCAATGCACCAATCTCTCTCTCCTTTTTCCTCTCCTTTATACCATCTATCAACTCTTTTCTGTTAATGTTCCACCTTAAACTATTTCTCCTCTCTCCCTCCATATTCCCTTTCTCTCTTCCAACTTTAACCCTTTTTCTCGATCTACCGCCATTACCACTTCTTCAACCTCCAGCCGGCAAGGGGTCCAACTCCGACCAGGACTCCGCCTACATACAGCCCCGCCCCCGTCACCTCCCCGCTCACTCGGACCCCACCCCCTCCGAAGGAAGCCTCGCCACAGCTGCAAGAGTCCCCTTCCCCCGATGATGAACCAGATGGAATCCCTCCTCACACAGAGGAACCAGAACCACCTGCTTCCCCCGAGGTCCCATCTTCACCCCCTCCCCGCTCTCCCTCCCCTCCCCCCTCCCCACCTCACCAGAAATTCCGCGAAGAAGAGGTAGACAACGAAGGAGATAACGAGGAGGCGGAGCCTGAAGAGGAAGAGGAAGTGACGGCTAATGGGGCGGAGGAGGAAGTGGAAGAGCCTGAAGATGACCAGAAAGAAGAGGAGGAAGGAGAAGAAGAGGAAGAAGAAGAGAAGGTAGGAGAAGAGGAAGAGGAAGAGGAGGAGGAGGAGGAGGAGGAAGAAGAAAAAGCAGACGAACAAGCCCATGATGAGGTTTGTAAAATCTTGCAGATACTACTTTTCCCACAAAGCATCATACAAGTATATACTTATATAGGCACTTCTCCATTTTTAAAACTATTCCCTCTCTTGCTATGCTGGTGTGGTCACATTATTGCAATTCCTACAGCCCGATGAGGTACAGCAAGAGAAGGAGGAAAAGCCACGCCCACCACCCGTCAAACCAAAGACGCCTACATCCACCGAAGACTCAGGTGATGATGACCTTCTACCAGACTTATGACCCTTTCTCTCCCTCCCTCTCTTCCGTGTTCAACTTGCCATCCATCTGTTAAGAATTATGGGAGTACTGGGTTTATATACCATTCCGACATGTTTAGAGGCTTCTTACATGTGTTGGAGGCTGTGTTGGAGGCTGTGTTGGAGGCTGTTTTAGGCGAAACATTGCACTCCCCCCTCTCTCTTCACTCTCAGAACGTCTCCCTAATTGAGGGTTGGCATGCTTCCCTATTAGTGTGTGTGAGAGATTGTCTCAGCAATACATGCTACTAGGTAGTGCGAGGGCATTGTGCCAACTGCCTGACATACCTGCTGATTAGCCAGCCCTCCCTGCCCCAAAATATGCCCACTCTCCCTCTCTTCCCTCTTCTCCAAATATAGACGGGTCACCGTTTGGCTCAAAACTTCGGTCCAAACGACCCCAGTTTCAGACCGGGACCTCCAGGGAGAAAGAGAGCGGGGCTAAGGCTGAGTTTCAGGGGTTCAAGCTGCGGAAGACATCGTCTCAAGACCAGCAGCAGGGGAGGTCGTCGCCACATGGTGGTGTGGACTTTGGAGTCAAGCTTAAAGTGAGTCTCTCCCTTTGTCTCTCCCTTCCTTCCTTGCCCCTCTCTACTTCCCTCCCTCACTCCCTCCCTTTCTCCTTGTCCCTCTCTCTACCTTACTCACTCCCTAGTTAGTGAACATAGGGATCGGGTATATGTGTGTGCATACGTTACTTGTGTGGAGTTACGTCACACAGAGCAGTTGAGCTTTTCACGCGATGAAAATTTCACAGAAGTTCCAAAATGATTTATAGTTACCAATGAAAACGTCAATGGGCATATTACTGTACCGTGTGGTGACTCGCTCTCTCTCTTGTTGTCTTGCTGTGTTGGGTATTGAATGTGGGAGTTGAGGTGTAATGGAATGTAGGGGGGAACTCTATTTACACAATTCCTTGTGTGTTCATCAATGGTCCACAAAGTGCAATAACAACTACATCTCTGTTCCATTCCACTGGACTGGAATGACGACGCCTAACCATCAATGTAAAGTGACCATTACACAAAATGGTGTCCTCATTATAGCATATCCTTAGAAAGGGTTTCCTTATTTCAAGGGTATATGGGATAAAACTGTAGCTCAGTCACCAAAAGTCAGAATGCTGTGACACATTTTGGTTGCAGATCAGAATAGCGAATTCAGTAGAAGTAGTCTTCATTCCATTCCATTGGACTGGAACCAAGACCAATCAGCAACAGTCTTAATTCCATGTCATAGTATGGAATGAGGACTACCCACTAATAAAAACGTCAACTGGGCTCCCTATAAGGAAAAACTAGAGCACAACTGGCAGACCTGCATTAGCTGTCTATTAGGCATTCCGATCATTCCAGACCCTACACTCATTAGCAGCATGTTACAGGTATTGCGGGGTCGTTAATTTCTGTTGAGACGCCAACCTTTTCATGTGGTTGGCAGGCGGCGAGATTGTAGCTCAACATGACCGACATATGCACGAAAATGGACTTTGACTGTAGCAGTGAATGATAGGTTCGTGTAGCCCGACAGGTCTGGTTGTTTGGACGACGTGCCTTTTGGCTCTGGACAAAAGCCTATTATAGTCACTTGCACTGGACACTCAGTCAGTTTATAGGTAGCCCTTTGCCTGCAGCTAGCAGTTGCTCACCCAGCCTTGCCTGTAGCTTGCCTGCAGTTGCAGAAAGTTTCTAGCTAGCTATGTATGGTGTGGCTCTGATGGGACCTATGAAGTGCGTACTTTGTGTATACATTTAGTTCTGCTGTTGTCTGCAGCTCTACCGCTAAAGTTTACAGCTATAGTCTAGTGTTTTTGCTGCACATCTGGTGACTCCAATTGAGAGACCCCTGGCTCTTCTTGGATTCTTGGCACGTCCGCTGGTGTTTGCAAGTGTTGTCAGGAAGCCTGCCGTGTTTTGAAACCGTGTGCAGTTTCTGTTGCTGCTTTTCGTGATAAGCGGGAAGCTCTATGGATTCTGGTGCTGTGTGCAGGAGACTCAAGACTGGTCGCCGTGTGCGTCCCGGCTCCATGATAGCTAGCAGAATGCAGGTGTTCGAAGCTGCAATCCAGCGGCCGAGTGGTGGTGGGAAGGAAGAGAGCGAGAGAAGAAAGATTGGGAAACATCTGTTCAAGGCTAGCTCCATGATGGATCTCGTGGGTGGTGGGCGGGGCACTGCTTCAAAAGCCACACCCACAACAGAGACGAGGGTTGTGGTGTGTAACCCTAGCACCGGGCAAGCCATTATCCCCAGAGTCTCCTCCACCTCCTCACTCCTCACTTGTATCCGGGCAACTGCTGCAGGAGGCCATGCCAACAATAAACCACGCCCACAACCCACCCCACCCTATCGCGGGGGTAGCACGTCGAGTGCCGATTCAGACTACAGCACTGGGTCCCAACACAGCCCCCCTCGAGATGAGGACCCCTGCAATTTGGACCCCCCAGATGACGAACCCCCACAGACCTCCCCCACCACAGGGGCTAGTGGAGTTAAAAATCTGAAACAGTTTTTCGAGAAGTCTCGACATGCCCCGCTCACCCGTGCTTCTTCTCTCCCCCACCTTCCCCCTTCACCTGTCACACCCTCACCTCCCTCTCTCCTCACCCCTTCACCCTTTCACCATTATCACCACCCACACAGAGTTCCCGTTTTACTCCCGCAGTTGATCAAAGGTGGGCATGGCCCAAAATCGTCCACCCTCCCTACCTCTTCTTGCCTCAGACAATCCCCAGCACGGCACGGCAAACTAAAGACACCACTATTACCTCAACCTGTGAAACACGTTCGAATCGTCGAACCTTGCCTCCAGAGAAATAATCTCCAAGACAACGCCAAATTGGCTGTGCAGACTCACAAGAAGCTTCCTCTTCTTCCCCCCTCAGTGTTGCGAACCCCTCCATTTAGACATTCGTCCAACTCCCCTTCAACTGTCCCCCCGCCTAAGCCCCCTCGGGCTCCTAATAGACTCCAGCTTCACAACATTGAGCAGGAGGTAAAGTATTTGTTGACCTCTTTTAATGACACTTAGCTTTTAAGAAGAATACTTGTACTAAAGCTATGAAGTTTCAATCCCAGTGCTAATGCTTTAGTTGCCGAGCAAAACATTGTTTCAATGTGGTATTATATTTATGTGGTGGGCAGCACATGGTTCTACGCGATTCTAAATATGCGCAAAACACGCTCCCTCGCCAAAAAAGTGCGACATTCATTCTAGTGTACTATTAACCCTCTGAATAATGTGCAAAGGACAGTTTTGGTCCCATAGTTCCACTGTGTTACCTGTATATACAGGCATAGGCACTGACAGATGTATGGAGCTATGATTAGGAGTCTTAATACGTCTCTGAAGTTAATTCACGAGTCTTTGTGCGTGGACCTAGTCAATGGCATCAAGGGCCCCTTGTCGTCTGAATGGCTGTGTTGTATGCATGTATGCACATAGCCTCACTCTGTGACTGGATATACACACGAAGGAGGGAATGGGGCCCTTTGAATGTGTGAGGTTCATATACAGTGTGTGTATATAGTGGTAGGGGGATGTTGATCTCAGGGGAATTGTAGTAGTCTTGATGTCATTGACAAACAACTCCTTCCTCAATCACTCCCCCCTCCCGTGTTTTTTCTGCTTCATCTCCATCCTCCCTTCATGCTATCCTCGTTATTCGTCGCAAACACGTATCTGGAGATGGTGGTGCATGTATATAGCTTACCATTATCCGATCCTCTCTACTCCCCTCCCTCCCCTTCCCCTCAGTGTCGTCCCAGTCCGTCCACCACTGATGCAATCCCCAGTAAAACAGAGCAACCGGAGATCCGTTCTCGGGCCAAGACCTTCGGCAGTGCTCGCCAAACTCCTTCCTCTTCCTCCTCCTCCTCCTCCTCCTCGGGACCTCGTACCCTCCGAGACTACCAGCAGCTCTCGGCTCGCAGTATGAGGTCACAGGCCAAGAGTCCAGACGAGAACGAGAGTGAGGGAGGTATGTGAGAGTGGGAGGAGCCTAGTGTCTGTATATACTTCCCATGGATGTTTTCAACCAAGAGAGTAGAGAGTAGAGTAGTAATGTGTTAGATCTGGTGATAATTGAACGAGGAATTTAGTGTGATAACTGTTGACCGCTTGATTAGTTGGACCTACCCCCCATTTTTGCCTGCCTGCTTGATGGTGTGAGCTATGTATCATTGTCATTAACCCTCAGCGCGCATGCGCAGCGAGGGTTACGGTTTGTCTGCATCTGTCTGTCCATGCTCCAACTCACTTCTCGATGGCATATTCGTCCCACAAACGATACGACGTAATAAACGGGTAATAAGAATTAATCGAACGGTTTTCTCTGAAAATGCTCCATTGCAGAGATCTGAGCATTACCAGCATAGTACGCGTACAATCCGTCGGCCATTTTTTACTCGCGGAAAACGAGCATGCGCATTCTACACGTGGCCGATCCAGACGTTCGTGTGTACGTGTGTGCGCGTGCCGTGAGTTACGATTTTCCCTGGCTAGGCTATCAATCATGCCTCCAGAACTTTTGTGCGGTTTTCTATGAAACTGCCCCGTTGCAAAGCTAGAGCGCGAAAAAGGCAATATGCAGGGACGGCTTACCACGGTCTGATCCGATCCGCGTGCCTCGGAGGCACAAGAAGATGCAACGCAGGGCGTGTATCGCCTCTCGCATGCTGTCTAGTAGTGTAGTTAGTCCGCGTCAGACTCTGCGGGAGCTGGCAAGAGACCACGAGTAACAGCTAAAACTAAACCCAGCCCATCAATTAGTGGTACCGCGCATGCGTTTACTTACGCGTCACAATGCGCGCCGAGGGTTTGCACTTCAGTTCGAGTTGGTAAATTCTGCAGCAAATGAGTTCACTTGGGGGCAGAGTCACTAATACTGTAATTGGGTAGTTGAATTGTGGGGTTTACAGTAATTTTGGTCCATATACGTATACGCATGAGAAGTGTAAAAAGAGCTTCCGACGTGCTATTGCAAAATACAGCACTTATAGATTGCTTTAACACAACTATATATATACGTCATGATACCACTTTGTAGCTAAACGAATGAGCCGTAAGGTGTCCCCATAGATATGTTTCATGTACTGGTGTGCATCGGTGCATGATTTTGAGGTAATTGGGTGTGTGCAACTATAATCGCACATTTACGATGACCGATTAACCCCTGGGTGTGTGCGTGTAGGATCTACTATGCCAGTGGATGAGCTACAGCGATATCTGGTAGCCTATGTCAACCAGGAGTTATCTCTCTCTCCCTCCATTCCTTCTCGGGGGAAGGCTCTTTATGACGTCTGTTCTGACCCATCCAACCTCTGGTATGTGTGTATGCACTCTCTTCACCCTTCTTTCTTCTTTCCTTCCTTCTCTCCCTCTTCCTCCCACTCCCTCCTTCTTCCCTCTCTGCTTCTTATGTGACTATATACTTTACCTTCGGTGCTTTCATTAACCCTCGGCGCGCATGCGCAGCGAGGGTTACTGTAGTCGTTCGTGTGTCTGTGTCTACGACTATTCTCGCACTACAGGCTACGAGGCGGCTTATGAGCGATACCAACAGCTTTAGCGGTACATGGGCTAGAAAAACAAAATGGCGATTTTTCTGAAACGACTGCGTTCGAGAGCGACAAAGTGACACGGTCGCGGACAGCGTTGCGGTGGCCCAACCCATCAATAAGCGGTGCGCATGCGTGTATTAGACGCAGTATGCTGGCTTCGACCTGATCCGCTTGCTCTGTGTACCTTGGAGGCACAAGAAGCCACAGCGAAGGGTGTGTATCGACTCCCGCATGCTGTCTACTACTGTAGCTAGCCAGTGCCAGGCTCTCCGCAAGCTACTAGCGGGAGACCGCGAGTAAACGCCAATCGCCCCAGCCCATCCATTAGCGGTACCGCGCATACGCAGTTCGCTGTGGGTTTGCACTTCATTTACACTTTTCCCATTCAAGTAATGGGTGGTGGTCTGATGGATAAGCACCCCGTCTCTTGATCGTGAGGTCCCTGGTTCGATCCCGGGGGTGTGCGCCTTTTTTACAATGATGTAATATATAGGAGTGTTGGCTGTTGGTATAAGTGGAACGTTTTTTCATTACCTCTCAAGGCCAGCCCGAGTGGCTAGGTGGTTAGAGTCGTGGGGACTGACACCATAGGTGCCGGGTTCGTATCCTCGATCCCGCACTAAAATGTCAGGTGGTCCAGAGCATTGGCTGGGAACAGCTCTGGTTCCTCCCCTTACCCACAAATCTACCACTGACCCACGTTTCTCAAAGGGCAGCAGGGCAGCAGGGCAGCAGGGCAGCGTACCGTACAGTTCGGCATAGCACTGTGTCCGTAGACGTCTGTCTGGAGAGATGAAGGGCTGGCCGTTTTTTTTTTCAACCTTGGGTTGTTTTTTTTTCACTAAACAATCCACGGGTAATACGAAAATTAATAGAGAGATGAAAGGTTGGTAATTTTTCAACCTTATATATTTTTTGGCCTCAAACAGAAATAGGGCTGGGCATTTTTTTTCCAACCTATGTGAAATGGTGCGCTGATGCATGGTCAAGACCATCAATTGTGGTGGTGCCACACTTGTGTATGGGTTCCACATTTCTATAGAGTGTGCCGAGGGTTTGCACTTTAGTGCTTTTCATTATTCTGGTATTGTCTACAGTAGATATCAGCACTTTTAGAAAACATAAACCATAGTTACTGAAAATTGATCTACTTACATTCTGTACATCTCTGAGTATGCATGCCACTAACACACACTCCCCTCTCTCTCCCTCTCTCTCTTTTCACCTCTCTTCTCTTCCCCTTCCCCTCCTCGCAGTAAACTCATCAACAGGTCCGTGAGGCACACGGTTGACCTTCGAGCCCTCACCATAGTAACCTCAAACATGTCCCCCGCCGACAAAGATGAAGCAGATCAGGAAAACATGACGTTGACCATCGAATCGGCCCGTGCCATCGGATGTCGCATCACCGACTCAACCGGGGACAAAATTCTGAGGAAAGACCCGCCCACCATCCGGAGTTTCCTCGTTGACCTAATAAGGGTGCGTTTCCATGGCAATGTTAGTATGTTGCAAAATCTCAGTCGCGATGTTAGTGTGTTACTGGTTCCAAAAACGATGTCTCAGACACCCTGTAGTTATGTCATTGCTATTTATATCATATAGTGTGTTAATCTCATTCGTAGTTTGTTATGGTTACGACCTCTTTGGCCTCCGCAGGCAAGGGTAGTCAACATGCCAGGGATGGACGACGAGCCGACAACGACATTTACAAACCTGTCAGTCCTGTTTTCGAAACTGGGCATCTCTGAGGGGGTTGACGGTGGAGAGGAGAGGGAGAATGGGGAGGAAGGGGGAGGGGAGGGGAGTGGCGGTATCAAATGGAGGGAGGTGGAAACAGAGGAGTTAAAGAGGGCTCTACAGACTCCGCCCAAGTCTCCACCCACCAGCAAGTCGTGGCGGGACATGGACAAATCTGTCTCCCCCACTGACAGGGTGAGTATTCGTACGTATAAAACGCTAACACCATCGTAGTCCTCGCAACTGTCCCATTCTGATGATATGCGATCACTGCGTTCTAAGCCTTATCAGTCTGTATGTCCCATAAGAAAAGTATGCCATAACTAAAGTATGCGGTACCTGTATAAACACAACCACATCCGGGCTCCGAAGGACCGAATAGACTATAGAAGCTCTCCTTAGTACATGCATACCAACCGATGTGCAGCGTGGGTGGGCACTGTAGGCACTCATCAACAGTAACACTTTTTTTCCACTTGAGTGCATGGTAATAAAGCAGTGCATTTTAAATGTGACCACACCCACTCTAGGCCACACCCCCTACTTCGGGTCTGACGTACGAGGAGAGAGCGGCGCAGCGGAGGGCCGAGAGGGAGAGGCGGGACCAAGAATGCAAGGCCGCTGGACTGGACGACACCAGTAACCTCACCTACGAGGAGCGGGCCGCCATACGCAGGGCCGAGCGAGAAAAGAAGAGACAAGAAAGAGCCGAACTGGCCAGTTCACATTAGAAAGAGAGACAAAGAGCAGTTTCTTCCACGGAGAATCCTTAGAACTTGATATCCCTTAGGCGACGGTCGCACCGTTGCCACATACATGTACACATTATTCTATAGCAATCAGCACTAGTGTCTCTCATGCACATTTTTCACGGCCCGTGTAGTTTGTCTGCATATACGTCACAGTGTCACCCCTTGTGTTGTAGTGTCTGAGTTATCAATGAAAATAAGGAGCAGAGACTAACGGCACCGTTTCATTGAAGTTTTGTTTAGTCAACCTGTTTTGTAGCCCATGATGTACGCAATAGAGCGTAGCCATAAAACGCCACGATAGAACGTGGGTGCATGCATGAGGCAAAGTTGTTTTCAACTTCAAACGTAGTATCGTATGGGTATGTAAGACTGTGTAATGAAGGTGTATGATTGCAACGTGCATGGACCCATCATAATCACACATTTGATATTGCTTGCAACTTTGTCTCCAAAGTGTCTGTCGTGTATCATACAAAGCAATAAAAGTCTTTGTGCCTTCATACCTACATAACATGTACACACAGGGGGCACATTCATCCAATATGTAAGTTAGGTATATACAGTGAAGCAAGACCCTGAACCTTGTATATTCAGGGGAAATTTTCGAATTGTAAATTGTGCCAGTTTAAAATTAACAGTTTTGTGGGAACAATTTCTGTCGTTGCAAAAGCTTACATAACGTCAATGAAGTGAAGTTGTTGGAAGGCATTCAGAAAATGGCAGTGACATCAGTTCCTATATCAGTATTCAGAATCCCATTCCCCTCTTCTTGCTCCGAGTCTTTTGGGAGGAGGGCGGAGTTTGGGAGAGTGGCTTCGCTCTCTCCGCCCGGCTCTGGGTGGGTGTGGCTTCAGGGGAACGATGCATCAACTCATCCCCTCCTTCCTCCTCCCCTTCCTTCTTCCACCCCTCCCAGAACATGTGGTCGTCATGGGGACAATCAGTACCAGGTTCACTGAACACACAGTGTGTCCTCAACTGCTGTAACCCCCTACTCCCTGTTGCCACGGTGACGTCTGTTGTTGCAGCTTCCAATAATAACCCTTCGCTCACTAGTTTTTGTTCAACTTTCCTAGCTCTCAGAGGGACTAGTCTGTCGTTGCAAAATAAACACCTCTGATTGGTGGGCAAAGCTTGTGAGGGCGTGGCTTGGTTGGTGGGTGGAGCTTGCTGAGACACAAGTGTACGTTGTGAGGGTGTGGCTTGGTTGGTGGGTGGAGTCAGGTAGGAAGTGGGCGGAGCTTGCTGAGACGCGAGTGTACGTTGTGAGGGTGTGGAGGTGGGAAGAGGAGAAGGGAAGGAGGGATGAGAGGACAACCCAGACACGAAGGACACAGCACAGAGGAAAGGTCATTGTCAAGATCTGGAGGTGAAAAACAAGTGTCCCCTCGCCATAGTACAGAGCTAAAGTGAGTAGAAACTGTCTAGAGAGTAGAGTGTTGTGGGTTGAGTCCCCCAGTTTAACTTCACTATGGGATTTTTGGTCATAAAACGGTTTGCACCAACATTGCCGTGCTTTACATACAGGTTTAGTCTGGGTAGAAATATTTAGGGGGCTCAGCTCGTGTGTACAGAAAGGGTTAAACTCACAGTCCAGGAGAGGGTTAAAGTTCAAAGGAGGTTTAGCATCGTGCCATTCTTCTCTTCCTACTTGCAGCTCCTGCAAGTCAGCAAACAAGTAGTGGCGTGTTTTTAAAACTTGTGTATGTTCCAGGAATCGCTCCATTGTGCATTATGCTCCACAGGATTAGGAATACCTGTTCTTGCTGTAGTGCTTCCTGGAGCCATGTGTCGTCATGACTACAAGTAGGTGTGGCAGTGGGCGGAGTTTCACTGTAGCTCCACAACTGGTAGAACAAGTCTCCCCAAACAGACATCTACAATTACATAAGCAAGACGTCTAACATACAAATTTCTTTCTCTAGCAGAAAACTCTTTGAACGATCTGTATTTACTTGACACAACAGCTCTGTTTCCACAGACACTTTAAACAGCTTTGAAAACCAATTCAGCCTTTCAGCTTACTTGTTTCAATGGTCTAAACCGGTTTAGAAACCATTTGAGTTACACCAGGAGTGGTTTGGAAACAGGTTTTAGTTTAGTGTCTATGTGGCAGACTTCTGACTCACTGAAACTGCTGCAAATGTCTCCACGTCATCCTCCCCTCCAATGACGTCATCCTCGAGGCTGAATAGACAAGCCCCGCCCACTGGTAGGCAGAGTCTGTGGCCAATAAGAGGAAGGGCTGACCTTCCTTGCCATGTGGTCTTGAGGTCACTGCACAGGGGAACATACATAGTCTTCCTTGCAATCTGTAACTACTTCTTATACACACTTTCTACTTCTTCTATTTCAGGGATAAGGAGCGAGGAAAGGGTCCAGGGACATATGAGAAAGCGAGATAGAGATAGGTAGAGCGAGATAGGGATAGGTAAAGCGAGATCTGATAGGGACAGGTGCAGGAGATAGGGTAAGTTACTAATCTGTTGCCTAGTATTGTAGAACACATGAAAAAACGTTGACAACCTTATGGAAAAGGGTTTGGGGATTGGGTGAATTGAGGCAAGATAGGAATAGGTGCAGCGATATAAAGAACATTGCTATTCCATACTCCAACTTTAGTGAAAGTATTAAGGATAGTTGTCTTTTTCCAATCATGTGCCTACAAAAAATGCAAAAACTTTGACATCCTCATTTGGGGGGACAGCGAAATTTGGGCAAGAGAGGAATAGGTGCTGCGAGATAAAGTATGTTACAATTCCATACTCCAACTGTAGTCAAAGAATTTAGGATGTTTAGTTTGTCTCTTCTTACACTACTGTTCCCACAAGAAATGCAAAATCGTTAACAGCCCCGTTTGGGGTGAAAGTGAAATTTGGGCAAGATAGGAATAGGTGCAGCGAGATAAAGGATGTTACAATTCCATACTCCAACTATAGTCAAAGCATTAAGGACAGTTGGTTGGTCTCTTCTTCTACTGTTATGCCTAGAAAAAATGCTAAACCGTTACCACACTTTTTGTGTGGACACTGAAATTTCCCACAGCGATATTGAAGTGGGATAGGTAATTGGTACGACTAATTTGCCATCAGCAGTGTAGCCCGATTTTGCTCAAAGCCTACAAAACAACATTGGACAGTAGTGAAGCGCTAATACAGGGAACACAACTGTACTCAAACTCACTGCTTTTTTAAAGAATTGGGGTAAGAAGTAGGGTGGCTATTACATCATCTGCTACTATAGACATTCACCTGTATCTAGCAACAGTGTGAGCTGCACAGCTGAAAAAGGGAGGAGTTCCAGTGGGCGTGGCTACTGAAAACACAAGGTTGTCCCCGGCAACAGTGTCGGTCACCATCACCAGCTCCTCAGAGGAGAGAGAAGGACTCCGAGCTGTGGACAACATCTGGGGAAGAAAGAGAGGAGAGACACGATCTTATTACAGCACGAACTGATATCAACGAGGTCGCAAGGAGAAGGGCAAAGTCCCTGAATACTGTCTTTCCAACCTTGGGGGTGTGGCTTAGGTCATGTGACTGGTCCAGTAGAGGCCAGCGAGGCTGCCGGAGGTCGAGGAGGAGGAGGGAGTGTGAGGTGGAGATGAGGAGATGGTGAGGGTGGGAGGGAGAGGGGGAGATGGCAGAGACAAGGGATTTGTTAGGTAGCCATTCACTGGGGCTGGTGAGGAGTGGAGAGAGGGTCATCTTATTAGACTGAAAGGGAGGGAGAGAAGGAACGAAATCACGGGAGCGAAAAAGGAATGAGAGTGAAGGGAGAGAAGAGCAGAAGGAATGAGGGAAGAGAAGAGCAGTGAAATAAAGGTCTGTTGTAGAACAAGTGCATTGACACCACTGGAGTCACCACTAGTCCAAAATAAGCTATTTACTTGACCACAATATGTGCTGGTTGTACGCAAAAATACCCTGAATACTACAGTACCCAACGTTGCTATCGTCAATTGACTCATTACATACCCTGAGGTCACATAGAGACACTCCACTGTGCTCCGCTAGTACCACACTGCGAGGGTGGTTACCATAGCAACACCGCCAAAAGTGGGAGGGGCCAGAGAGTGAGGGTATCTCCAGGGGCTGTCGTAACACCTGCAACCTAAAAAGGACAATCAAGAGGTTACATCACACAGGCAATAGACATAAACACATACACACATTTGTTAAATAACGATTTCGAAAATAATTATACATAGCTCCTTCAAAAAAACTTACGACTCTCCCTGACTCCACATGTAGATTCCTCCAGTTTCCGTGACAACCAAACCCTCTCCAGCAATGTAAGGGCTACAGCACAGAACAACAAACTGATGATGTCATTTGGTCATGTGACCTCACATGATGTGTCACCTGACTGTCGCACTAGCCACACAGCTATCAGTCTGGAATATGGCCAGGAGTGTGATCATATGTGGGGCAGAATCAGAGCTCTGAGCGTCACTAGCTGCTGAGGTAACCTCTTCCTCCGTGGGTCCCTGATGTTAGAGACAATGGTGGAACATTTGTATGTATGTATGACATCAGGATATGCAGCTATCAATCCTCACCTGAAAGAAGGCGGCATGATAGGTAGTCCTGGCACACACAAAGACTGCAGGTCATGTGACACATAATACAACATCAGGTGACATCACATGACCACCCACCCTGTCCCTGTGACCGAGATACCTGGATCTCCAGTATTCTCCCTGGCAGCTGGCATCCCTCACACTCCCTCAGAGATAGAGAACGTTGGGAAGAGGACACCACACCACAGGCTAAGTTGGCTAGTCAAGGAAATTGAATGTCTGGTAACTGTGCTTAGTTTTTTTCAAATACATTTATGTGTGTAACTGTCCTAGCATGTATACTACGTTGCCCACAGCTGGAGAGTGCATAGCGCAAAAAATCTTAGTGGAAAATTTGGTTCTCATAATAGTATGGGAGAGGACATGTTAACTAACCTTGACTCGAGCTAGAGAGTAAAGTGCTCAAAAGTGATTGCTACCGTACCGCATCAAGAGGCGGCATGCATGTGCGCCCTCTATCGACAGTGCACCTGCACCGACGAACAACGGCTGCCATTGCAGCTGTTAAGCTGGGCTAGAGGTGTTTAACCCTCATGTATGTTTATTTTTACAAAAACCCTAAACAAAAAAAACAAAAAAAACAAAAAACAAAACAAAACACTACTATCGAGGGAACATGTCCCTCTGCAGCGGCAAGTCAATGTTTGATGCTCACTGACTGGGCGGTGCGAGAGGATCTACTTCCTCGATGCAGAGGATAGCAGATCGGAGTATAGCGAATGATAGGCGGGCAGCGAATCCAACCCATGACTAGAAGTAGTTTGCTTGTCCTGCTTCCGGGACAACTCTCAGCCAGTCTTTTGTAGATGTCGTGGCTTCACGTGCCATACCACCAGTAGTGAGAGGACAAGTGGTGTAAAAACCCCATGTTCAACTCTCGAACTCTTGGGCATATTCTCTCTTCTTTGCTGGTTCGTGTTGCGATATGCTGCTTGCAGTGTCATCGAACGGTTGCTTGACGCGTTGGGGTGGAAAACCCTAACATCAAAAAATGCGTCTTGGCCAGTGTTCCAAAAACCACGAGCACGGATATCTAGGCGAGCGTTGGCATCAGTGTTCGACATTTTGAATCGTCTGAATAAAGGATACTGAGAGTCTGCAATAGAGGTCCGGAGGCGTAAAAGAGACAGGTATGCTGGTGATAGTTGAGACTGGCTACAGCTGAACCCAGTAGTGGACCATACTCCTGTGTACATAACATGTTCACATAGTACTATATTCAGTGTGTATTGTATGCAGCAATTTGTATGCAACTTTCTGTACAGATAGGCCAGTGCAGGAATGTTTCAGTATTTGTATATAAAGGCTGTAAGGGTGGCATGCGAATTATACGCCCTAGTGCAGGAATGCAATTAGTACCTGAGGCCACATGGTGTGCAAATTGCTAAAAAGACAGGCATGCCTAAACCCCCTTGTAATAGATGCTTAATGTTCCATACTTCATTCTGCCTGTCTAGCGTGGATGCCTCAGACAGCAGCTGATGCAGAAGGTGAGGTGGAACATACACATCCTTGTAGTTCCACTGGAGATAGGTCACCTGGGAGACCAGGCTGGTATCCTCGGGAGACGGTACAGGGTCATATGGGGTATCTGCAAACTTCTATTGAAAGGGCTTAAGGCAGATAAACTCTATACTGACGTGTGTTGGGTGGAGAAAGAGGAAGACACGGGTGTGGCTGTTGACGTAGCGCCCCTTCACTGATGAAATATGACGTCAGTGAATGACGTCATAAACCTCACCGTTTCTTCTAAACAGGAGTTGTTTCCTGTTAGAGCTGACAGCAGCAGCAGAGAAAGATCCTACGGCTGCAGAGTTGAGTCTAGACTGCAAGTACTGCCGCGGCTGCCCCGCACCCTGCTCTGAGGTGGAGTACAGCGGGAACTCAAACGCAGCCATCTTCGGGTTTATGCGCATCTGGCACCGCGCAACAACAACACAAAGTGGTATCATACACATGCGCCGCGATCATGAATGCTTTCAAAGACCACAACACTACGAGTCTATTCAGCCAACTGTCTAAAACGTCTAGGAACACTGTCCTAGCAAGGCAGTGGTGTGACGCTCGCTGCTAGGGGCAACACGAGGGGTTCTCCCCAACAGAAAACGCCCTTGGGAAGGTCTGAGACGGAGGCCACGCCCACCCCAGCTGGGTGTCCCGGTAACAGGGAGGGGGGTATCAGAAAACAGTTGTCCCTGGAACAGCGCTTGCAGCAAGACCACGATCTCATCCGGGGTCCTGGATGCGCGCAGTTCCCCAGGTTGAAAGACCCCCTGGCCAGCCACTGGAGTCCAATGAGTGAGGTGACTCTCCTCTGAAGGAGAGGCATAACCCAATTCAGACTACTCTCAGACCACTGCCTTTTTTTGAGCCTAGTTGTACAGACTGGATGCAGGACGGAGCCTAGATACTGTGTCCACAATACAGCAACAGCCTCCAACTTTACTGTCCATATTTTCTTACACTCTGTCACCCTGTGGTGTGAGGGCTTGGGCAGCAAGTACTATACTTCTGTACACAAATAGAATAGTTTCAGCACTAATGGTGCATGCAAAAGATTCCCGTGCACAAGCCATGTCGATCCTGCCACCTATGGGAAATTTGATTTTAAACGATGGTCAATATAAAGCGTGTGAGAGAATTGTGGATGAGCAGTGTCAAGGTGGTGTGAGGCTGGACCAGAGTATCATCTCTATGACTCTCAATGCTAAGCGCTCGGACAGCACGGCTGCGCTCGGCCGATGTGGTCTCACTCTCTGCCTGGCCTCCTCTTCACCTCTGACCCCTGACTCTTGTTTCATCTTATCGTATCTCACGACTTAGTCTCCAGACGAATGAACGCTTGTTTTGCCGAATGTCTGGCATTCTTCACCAGATCTCTTATACCCTGTTAATTTATGTAGGAGTAACAATCGGTTGACATAGCTATACACATAACAGGAAAAGCAGAAAGACATTCATAGACCTCACAGATAAAGTTTGGATATCTGAACAAAATTAAGATTTTCGTCCGCTATACTTGAATTCCATACCTGAGATACTCTTGACTGTAATGTCTTGGTCGTCCTAATAATATGGTTCCTCAGTAGCCCATAAACATCATCATTTTCACCAGCAGATGCAACATCCACAGCGGTCAGTCCACTCTGAAAGACCATGATATAATATAGTGATAGAATAGTCATTCTGCAATAAATCCCATTTGCATTTCTCACATTATCTCTGAGGAGAGGGTCAGCCCCTGCGTCGAGCAGTAATTTTGTTGTTGCTACATCTCCTTCATCAGCAGCGAAGAAGAGAGCTGACCACCCATTTTTCTGGCAGATAGAGAGAGAGATATTAAAGACACTTGGTAACAACAGAGGTTGTTTAGTCTTACGGTTTGAATATCAATAGAAATATTTCCCCGACAGGAAAGCGTCTTTGTTATATCCGTCACGCACAGATATTGAAGATATCATCAGAGCTGTGAGCTCTTCTATAAAGTCACAGTCACATCCCAGTAATCAAACACAAGAGCCAATAGGAATAAAGTCATTTCTGACTACAGATGAGGCTTGGCTCTCAGATCACCTCATTCTGGAGGTTGATATCAGCTCCAGCTCTGACTAGCTCCTTTACAGTTCGTATGTGCTGCCTTGTTGTGGCCAATATCAGAGCTGAGTCTCCTTTCTGCGGTGGAAAAAGCAGTAATTCCTCACTGTCGCATGTATAGTGTAAAAGATAAACGGTAAACCTTATTCTGCAGATCTAGTGCTGCGCTCCAGCTTTCACTAGCATTGAGACGTCTTCAGTCCTACCCATCCACGCAGCTTTCCATCAGTGCAGTGTCTCCTTCCTTTGTGAAAAACGGTGATCATTAAAAGCACTTTACAGGGAATGCCCTCGTCACTAGAGGAATGCACGCATGAGGGT